TAAGTTTTGTTTTTTGTAATTTTTTTTTTTACTCAAAAGTCAGAATTACAGAAAAAAGGGACACAGAGAGAAATCTGTTCACTGGTTCACTCTGCAAGTGGCAGCCATGGCCAGAGCTGGATCATCCTGAAGCTGGAAGCCAGCTTCCCATATGGATGCATGCACCCAAGGACCTAGGCCGTCCTCAACTGCTTTCCCAAGCTGTTAGCAGAGAGCTGGATCAGATACAGGAGCCAGCTCCCATTTGGAATGCTAGCACTGCAGGCAGAAGATTATCTTGCTATGCCACCATGCCAGCCCCGTTGAGTTCATTTTTGTGAATCGGTGTCCAGTTTCATATTTTTGTGTGTGTGATTGTTTAGTTCCAACACTATTTGTATAAAGACCACTTATGCTCCTTTGTCAAGGATTGGTTGACTTGGAGTTGGCATCATGATACAGTGGGCTAAGCTGTTACCTGTAATACCAGCTTCTCTTATCAGAGTGCTGGTTCAAGTCCCAGCTGCTCCACTTCTAGTCCAGCTCTTTGCTAATGCACCAAGGAATATGGCAGAAGATGGTCCACGTACTTGGGCCCCTGCCGCCCACATGGGAGACCTGGCTAAAATTTCTGGTTTCTGATGTCTACCTGACATAGTCCCTGGCCCCTGGAGTAAGCCTTTTTTCCTTTTCTTTCTCTTCTTCTTCTTCTTTTTTTTTTTTTTTTTTTTTAAGATTTATTTAATTTTACTGGGAAGGCAAATTTAGAAAGAAGAAGAGACAGAGAGAAAGATCTTCCATCCTCTGGTTCATTCCCCAAATGGCTGCAACATTTGGAGCTGAGCCAATCTGAAGTCAGGAGCCAGGAGTCTCTTCCATGTCTCCCACGCGGGTACAGGGTCCCAAGTCTTTGGGCAGTCCTCGACTGATTTCCCAGGCCACAAGCAAGGGGCCGGATGGAAAGTAGAGCAGCCAGGATATGAACTGGTGCCCATATGGGATCCCAGTGCATGCAAGGCGAGGATTTAGCCCTGAGCCATCGTGTTGGACCTTCCTGTAGTAAGTCTTAAAATCACATCCTGTCAGCCCTCCAACTTTGTTCTTCAGTATTATCTTAGTTCTTTTGGGTATTTGACCTTATCATATACTGTAAAATCAGTTTGTTGATAGCCACAGAATTTACTGAGATTGTGTTGAATCTGTAAATCAAGTTGTGGAGAACTAGTGTCTTGGCAATATTTTCTATTCAAGAACATGGAATGTCTATTTGGCTCTTGGATTTATTTCATCAGAGTGTTTCAGTTTTTGTCATATAGATTTTTGGTCATATTTTGTCAGGTCTTACCTAACTATTTCAGGAGTGTTTTTAAACTTCATATTTGAGGGCCCGGCAGGGTGGCCTAGCAGCTAAAGTCCTCGTCTTGAACGCGCCGGGATCCCATATGGGCGCCGGTTCTAATCCCAGCAGCTCCCCTTCCCATCCAGCTCCCTGCTTGTGGCCTGGGAAAGCAGTGGAGGACGGCCCAAGGCTTTGGGACCCTGCACCCATGTGGGAGACCCGAAAGAAGTTCCTGGATCCTGGCTCCGGATCGGCATAGCATCGGCCGTTGCGGCTCACTTGGGGAGTGAGTCATTGGAGGGATGATCTTCCTCTCTGTCTCTCCTCCTCTCTGTATATCTGACTTTCCAATAAATAAATAAAATCTTAAAAAAAAAAAAAACAACTTCAGGTTTGATTTGTTCATTGCTAATATACAGGAAAGCAGTTGAATTTTGTGTATTAACTTTGTATTCTGTAACCTTGCTATAATTGCTTATTAATTCCAGGAGGAGGTTTTATTTTTGCTTCATTTTATTTAGGACAGTTTTCTCAGATTTCCCATGTAGACCATCATGTCATCTGCAAACAAAGATTTACATATCTCTTCCTACATTATGCACCTTTTATTTCCTATATGCTAGGACTTCCAGACAATATTGAAAAGCAGTTATGTGAAAAAATGTCCTTGCTGTGATCTTGGTCTCAGTGAGAAAACTGAATTTCTTGCTGTTAAGTATGCTGTCAGCTGTGGGTCTTTTTTTTTTTTTTTTTTTTTGATGATATTCTTTATCAAGTTGAGGAAGTTCCTTCTATTTTCTAATTTATAGAAAAGTCTTTAGCATGAATGGACATGAGATTTTTGTCAATGCTTTATTTCCAATAATGGTGTTTTGATTGCTAGAATTTTTTTTAAGTGGGTAAGACTATTATTTCCACATTGTTTTTGTCATGTATCTGGGGTAAATTAACTTCTTATTTTCTTTCTTTCTTTTAAGAATTATTTATTTCTTTTTTTGGAAAGTCAGATATAAAGACAGAAGGAGAGACACAAAGAAAGGTCTTCATATAATGGTTCAATCCCCAAGTGGCTACAATGGCCAGAGCTAAGCCAATCCGAAGCCAGGAGCCTCTTCTGGGTCTCCCATGCTAAGGCAAGGTACCAAGGCTTTGGGCCATCCTCGACTGCTTTCCCAGGCCTCAAACAGGAAGCTGGATGGGAAACAGGGCTGTTGGGACATGAACCAACGCTCAGATGGGATCCCAGCACATTCAAGGAGAAGACTTCAGCTACTAGGCTACTGTGCCATGCCCCATGACTTCTGTATAGATATGGATAAGCGATAGATTTCAAATGTGTATCTCGTTATAGGACTGTCCTGCTTTAAGCCCGTCAGCAACCTCAATGACTCCTCCCTCCCTTGGGCAAAATCCCTGCCCCTGAACTGATCTGTGCCCATTTCCTGTGACCACAATCCCTTGCTGCTCCAGATTTGTCTCTGGGACCTCGCTATAGCTGCTTTGTATTCTGGTTTCTCTGAACTCTGTGTAATCACATGTCCTAGAATCACACCCCTACACCCAAAGGATGCTTTCTCAATCTGTGGCCTCGAGCAGGCGTGCCTGTCCAGCATGGCTTTCTTTCCTAGCCTTTTTGCCTCACCTTTGCTGGTCCCTCTTTTCAGATGCAGGCCAGCTCTTGTGATCCTCCATGAAACTACTCTAACTTCTGGATTCTTCCATCCCCCAAACTGGGTTTCTGTGTGTGAATTTCTATCATTACTTTTCCCTCCAGTTATTCATCACATCAGCTAACCAATAGTACTCCTGTTGATTGTTGCAGAATATTAAGCACTGGGACACAGCACGTGAAAAAGTTCTTCTCAATGGAGGCTACATTTTATGACAGGAAATTGATAAAGTAAAGAACAAGTAAAATAGCATATGTCAGGGCCCAGCTTGGTAGCCTTGTGGCTGAAGTCCTCGCCTTGCATGCCCAGGATCCCTTAATAAATATTTTTAAAAATAGTGTGTGTCAGTTGGTGACTGGTGCTATAATTTAAAGAAACAGATTGGAAGTTGGGAGTGGGATGTTCTGAAGTTAGAGGGGAGGTTGCAGTTTAGAGACAATGATCAGGAAAGGCATTACTGACTGCAGCGTGGCCTTTGGACAGAGAGCTGGTGGGAGTGAGCGAGCCGGCCACACGCACTGGGGAAGGGAGGAATTCCAAAGAGCCCATGGAGCGTTGGGCATTTGGCGCAGTGATTCAGGCCCCTGTGTTCCGTACCCGAGTGCCCCAGTTCAGTCCTTGGCCCTGCTGTCTGACTCCAGCTTCCTGCAGTACGGATCCTAGGAGGCCACGGGAATGACTCAGGTTGTCGGGCTCCTAGCTTTGGTCCTCGAGCTGTTGTGAGCATTTGGGGATGAAAACCAGTAGCTAGGAACTTATATTTTCTCTTCCTCATTCCTTCACAAACAATTAAAAAAATTTTTTTATAAATGTATGTTCACACATGTATGTAATACAGAAAATCCAAATATAATGCATATTAATAAGCTGCCCCAAATCATAACTTGTTCATATCTAGCATTGAGCATGTCAAATTCTTTTTCTTCTCTCTTTATAAACTTTATTTTTGATACTTTTTACATGTTTGATTAGGGTGTGAAGGGTCAATGGCTAGAGGAAAGTGAGTGTGACCATTTTGAAATTCTCTTTTTTCCTTCCTGTACCTGGGGTGAGGGGAGAGTTAAGGCGAGAAGCCACACCTACCCTCCCAACCATCCCAGGGCCCTGATGTGGGGTCTGTTGCAAGGGCACTGCTCAAGTGGTTTTGATAGTTCCACAGTTCTGTATTGCTGCCAATCTTGCCCCTCCAATCACAAAGAAATAAAAAGTTTTTAAAGTGAGAAAATGCATGTTGTATGAAAGCTGCACTAATTTCAAAACATCTTTGCACCAAAATCAATTTTTATTTTTATTTTCTTTGAACTTTTTTAAGTACCCTCATATAAGAGGCAACACAGAGGTTGCAGTGAGCTTAGAATGTTATGAGGTCAACAGGGGAGGTGCTTGTCACGGAGTGGGCAGGGCCAGGCCAGCAAGATGGGGGTCTCGGGCTAAAGACAGCCAGAGCAGGAAGGACATGGTAGGCTGCGGTCAGAGCCTCGGCTAGTACTCTTAAGACCAGCTTTTATGCAAGTGACAAGATTTGGCGGTGTTCAGGATAGACTGCTGTGACTACCGGATGGAAGCTAGGGCAAGGTCCAGGAGTATCCCAGGGAAGGGCCGGAGCTAGGAGACCAGGGGGGGAGACTCGCGAGTGGATTTGGGTGACTTTTTTTTAGGTAGAGCCAATAGAATTAGAAAGGATTGGATTTAAGCTATGAGAAGAAAAAATGTCACAGGTGACCTCTGGATTTTTAGTCTGAACAGCTAAGACATAATTGTGAAGTGCAGAAAACAGTAGGAGAATTCAGGATGGATGTCTTACATTTCCGAAACCTATCGGTTTCCCAGTTGGAGGTGGTGTAGATAGATGGGGTTCAGAGGAGGGGGCCACGGAGTAGTCCCTGATGGCCTTCAGCACTGGGTAGTATTTTCTAAGTGATGGGATCAGATGAGGCAAATGACACGAGGTGGATGACTGAGTGGAGCACTATAAGCTGTAGAGGCCAAAGTCATTTAATTTTTTTAAAAAAAAAAGACACTGAGGAAATCTTGTGAAGGTGGGGCTGGTGAGCAAGGAGCACCCAGGCGTGGTGGCCGTTTCTGCGGTCAGTGCTGTGGCAGGCTGTGTGAGCTGAGGACATCAGTGTAAGTCTCTGTGTGTGCGTTTGTCTCCTCCCTTGGGCTGAGAGCTCCTGGGGGCCAGCACTGGTGTGTGGCGTGTGGCTGCCACCTTGCAGTCACTCTGCTTAATGGCTGTTGTCCCTCAGGTGCTTCCTCTTCTCCATGTGGACTTGAGTCTCATGAATAAGATGGAGAGGAAATAGTGATGGTTCCCAAGTCACTGGGGGACAAAGCACTGAACACGGTCCCTTCCCGGTAAACGTGGGATGATGACTTTAGGAGACTGGCACACCACCCCTCCCTTTTGAGCAACATTTGTTGAATGAAGGAGTGAATCGCCTTTGACTGCCTAGCATTTTTTTTACTTTAGGTAATGTTTACGTAGTTGATCAGGTTGGGAAGAGTCTAGGTTTCTGCCTAGGATTTTATTCAAAGTGTTCCTTGTGAAGTTGTAACATGGTGGTGTGACTTTCCGCAGGGCGGCTCCTCCCGTAAACTCTGGCTGAAGGGAAGGGAATTCTAGGGGCCAGGCCGACACCATGGAGCTCCCCAACTACAGCCGGCAGCTGCTGCAGCAGCTCTACACACTGTGCAAAGAGCAGCAGTTCTGTGACTGCACCATTTCCATTGGCGCCATCTACTTCAGGGCTCACAAGCTCGTCCTGGCGGCTGCCAGCCTCCTGTTCAAAACCCTGCTGGACAGCACAGATACCATCTCCATCGACGCGAGCGTGGTGAGCCCCGAGGAGTTTGCCCTCTTACTGGAGATGATGTACACTGGCAAACTGCCTGTGGGCAAGCACAACTTCTCCAAAATCATCTCGTTAGCCGACAGCCTGCAGATGTTTGATGTGGCCGTGAGTTGTAAAAATCTTCTGACCAGCCTTGTAAGCTGCTCTGTCCAGGGTCAGGTGGTGAGAGATGTCTCCCCATCAGCCTCTGAACCGTCCAGGAAGGAACCGGAGAAGCCTCAAGTAGAAGTTCCTTCCTCGGAAAGTGCTGCAGAAGCTCCTCCGCTGGAAGTTTCTGCCACTCCAATGGCCCCTGTGAAAGCTGAGTCAGAAGAAGCAGCACCAGCAGCTCCCCAGGGGACGAGCATGGACCCTGCCGGAGTCCAGGAGGTTGAGGGCGATGCTGGGACCCCGTCGGAGCCTCCTGCGACAGCCGAAGTTTGTTCCCCAACTCCTAGTGTACAGAGCTCCAGCGTAGAAGAGCGGGCAAGCACAGAACCAGGTAATGCTATTTTATTGTTCGTGAACTGCCAGTTACTAGACTCGATGAGCTTTGTTAATTTTTGTTTCATTGATGAATTTACCCAAGACTTCTGTTAGGTAGGAAATCAAGATCCAATGCAGTACCTTACCGAGGCATTCTTTAAAGTGTCTGTTTTCCACAGTTGAGGGGTGAAGGTGAACTACCTTGCACATAAGCACTATTGAAATGACTGCTGATTCTCCATTGTTTGAACCAGGCTGAGGAGGCCACAGAGCAGGAAGCTGGGAGAAGGGCTGTTGTATGTGGCCCAGGGGTCCGCAGACAGCTTCAGCATTCTACTTCGAGTACTGTGACTGATTTATTTTATTTTCTTCATTCAGAGTGTAAGAGGAAGCATTGTCAGCTGGATTTCCTTCTAGAAAATCAAAGTGTCTTCTCAGATGCACTCTTGGTTACTCAGGATGTTTTGAAAAAACTAGAAGAATGCTCAGAAATTAAAGGCCTGCAGAAGGAGGTAGGCACCTCGGAGATTTGTTTGGTTGCTGATCTTGTGTTCCTAGGATATTATTTTTAATTTGTGGGGCAGAAATAGGGAAGTGCACAACACGCCTAGACTAAAGGATGTTTTAAGCTTTACATTTTTGGCACCCCTAAAGGGCAGTCTTGCAAATGTAGAAGGCAGAATACTTGTAAAATGCAGTGCTAGGACACAAAGGTCCCCGAGCTGGAGCTCCAAAATCTGCAATGCTGTGAAAGCTGTGCCTTGCTCAGCGTCCTGTGGGCACCTTGCAGAGCCATTTGGGTTTGCATTTTCACATTGGTTTGCCCAAGCAGTAAAGCTTGTACAGATAGCCCAGGGTCTAGAAAACTTCAAAATTTGAAATTATGCTATTCCTAGGCATTCCAGATAAGGATTATTCAACTCATGCAAATCCCAGTTTATAACTAGTTTTGATCTAGGATTCTTGTCTGATCATACCATTGTTTCATGATTAGTCAAGAATAACAAAAGGCAGAAAATAGTCATGGCTAACTCCAAGCAGAGTTCTAAACTGTAAAAGCAAAACAGCAGATATTCAAAACATGTACCAGAAGGATTTTGTATAAACATAACAATAAATTACATCCCATGTCTAGGAATATCATTGCCATTTTGGGGACATAAAAATGAGAATGTTTATTACTCTTAACTCTGCTGAGCTTGGTATATATTTCATCCCATTTGATCTTCACAAAATCATTGAAGTGGTACTATTTTTTAGTCCTGTTTTATGAATGAGAGAACAATCTCAAAGAAGTGATTTAGCAGCAGGCATTTAGTCCAGTGGTTAAGACCCCTTATCCCACATTAGAGTCCCCAGATTTAATTCCCAGTTTCTAATCCCAACTTCTTGTTAATGTGTGCCCTGGGAGGCAGTGGTGAGGGCTCAAGTAATTGGATTCCAGCCATCCACAGGGAAGACCCAGATGGCATTCCTGGCTTCAGCCCCTGCTCACCCCTGGCTTTGCGGGAATTTAGACAAGTGAACCAGCAAATGTGTGCCCTCTCTTTATGTCTGTTGTCTCTATCTTCTTGCCTCTCAAAAAAAGAAAAAAAAAAAAAACCATGATGAGATTTGGCAGTTAACGCGGACTGATCTCCTAAGACTCAGAATCAGAATTCAAATCTAAGCATCTGCCTTGAGAGCTGTCCCCTTCCACTAAGTTGTTCTGCATAGTGACAGGGCAGAAATGGTCCTTGGGGCAGAAAGGCTTAGGATAGGTCCACCTGACAAAACTGCCACATGGTTATCATGCTGTGTTCTTGGCTGACCTTTCAGTTTTCAGTGACTTGTTGAGACACAGCTTATCTCCTTACTACCTGGTTCCTCACTCTTAACCCTGCAAGCTCTGCCTCCACAGCCACTTTCGGCTGCACTGATTCTCCTCTCTGCCAGCTTTGCTCCCTTTTGACAAGCTGCAACACAGTGAGGGGCTCTGTTCAGCAGGCCTGCTCATCTCGTGGGGGTGGGTGGTATGGCAGGGTCTTCTCCTGTTGTGATAACTGTATTAGTTACTATTAATCCAAGCCATAATTTTATGTTTAAGTGTTTTCTTGATGTATAGCAAGTTGTTTTACTTAAAAAAAAAAAAAATTCAAGGTCTTGAGGCAGGTATTGTAGCACAACAGATTAAGCCACCAATTGAGACAACCATATATCATGTCAGAGGGCTGATTCAAGTCCCAACTGTTCTGTTTCCTGTCCAGCGTAAGTGCTTCAGTTCCTGGCTCCTGCCTTCGGCCTGGCCCCGTCCCTGCTACTGTAGCACTGATGGAGAGAATCAGCAGATGAAAGACATATTCTCTTTTCTCTCTCTCCTCTCTCTCTCTCTCTCTCTCACACACACACATACACTTTCTCTGTCTGTCACTCTACCTCTCAAATAAATCTTTTTTTAAAATGAAAAGCAAATTCAAGATCTAGTGTTTCTTTTCACCATATTAGTCAGCAGTTTCCTAGAAGTTGTTTTCTTGGGCAAGAATTTAACAAGCCTGACCCTGATGACCTTTGGGAGGTTTCAATTCATAAATCCTTACTGTCCTTTATGCCTGCTATGCTGAAGGATGTAACAATTTTACATATATATATATATTGCACCTGCTTGTCCTTTTAACTGTTCAGTCCATCATTTTTGTCTTTTGCTGTTGCCATACCTCTGCATTTTCTCTTTTCCTTTGGCTGCAGAGGAGCAGTGTTATCCCGTAGATCAGCAAAATCAAATTATCATCATCTCTTCTACACTCACTCAAACTGTGTCTCTCATATTTTTTTTAAACACTGGTACCTAGAAGTGCCTGACATATAGCTGGCACTCAAAAAATGTCTGTCACACATGGGCTCATTCAATATTTCTTTCCTTTTGCCGTAGCTCTTGTTCTAATCTTCTGATGGCAATAACATTAATAGTACTTTCAAAGACCAGTGATTCACTGTTGGTAATCATTATAGGCTTACACTGTTTCTTCCTCCGTTTCAGAGGTCAGAATAAGAGCCCTACAGACCACTTGGTGGCTGTGTTTAAAATTGATTCTGTCAGAGTCCATAATAAATCTTTCAACTCTGGAAAGAAAAAAGGAAAAGATGCTTTAAGGACATGAGGTGAAATTAAATATGGAGTTGGGGAAATGCCACTCTGCACTCAGGCAGTCCACTTCTCTCGTATACTTTCTTTGAGACAGCTTCATAGCAATGTGCTTGCCTTGTAAGACTTGGGGCTGCCGTGAAGCAAGGCCTGCAAGGCCTGAGAAGTTGTGAAATACACCCTGAAACCACCTGCACAGTCCAGATGGGAGACGTGTGCCTCACCCCCAAGAGCTTCGTCATGCCCTTTAGTAACACGTCCTTTCTTCCAATTTCCACCTAACCATTCTCCCACTGATCTTTATGTCGGTGTGGACTATGCTAGTTTATATTTTCTAGAATTTTACATAGATGTGGTCATATCTTATATCTTTTTTGTCTGGCTTCTCTAATTCAACATAATCACTTTGCAATCCATCCATGCTGTTGTGTGTTCTTCCATGTCTTGTTATTGCTGGGTAGTGTTCCACTGTGTAGACTACAGCTTCTTTACTGAGTGGCTACCATTTACTGGTGTTGTAACCTTGAGCAACTTAGTCTTTACAGACCTGACTTCAAAATCTATTAAGCGGGCTGTTACTACCTACATCTCAGAATCATTGTGAATTAATTTTTATTTATGGACCTGCATGATGGCATAGCAAGTTAAGCTGTGACTTGCATACTGGCATCCCTAATCAGAGCACCAAGTCAAGTCCTAGCTGCTCTGTATCCAGCCTCAGTCCCTTCTAATGTACCTGGGAAAGCAGTTGAAGATGGCGCCAGTGTTTGGAACCTCTGCTGCTCACCTGGTTCCTGGCTTTGGTCTGGACTAGCATTAGCCCTCAGGGCCAGTTGGGGAGTGAACCAGCAGATGGAAGACTTCTATGTCTCTCCATCTCTATCATGTGCCTTTAAATAAATAAATCTTTATTTTAAAAAAGTTTATATACAGAGCACTCACAGTAAAATGCCAGTTACACAGTAGGAGTTCAGTAAGTAGCAGCTACTCTACTTCTGGACCTAATAGACCTCAAAATGCTCCCTTTCCCCTAAAGCCTTGTGACATCCTGAAGGTGCACTTCAGATAGGTACCGCTGTCCACCTGGCCGAAGCTCTGCGGACTGCAGGGTAGTGACTGGTACAACACGCAGTGAGTCTGTAACACAGTGGTGCAACGATGTAAGAGTTACCTAGTGTGTGGGTTAAATGTGCTTCCATGGCCTCCTTTTCATACTCCAGTCCTTACCTCATGGTAGAGTTTGGGAATCTAAATCTTTAACAGATTCCCCTGGGTTGCTGTTGTGGTATTTGCAGACCACGTTTTGAGAAGCACTGTTGGAGAGCACAGTGGCTTAATAGGAACTCTGGGTGTATGTCTACTGTACCTCTTCATGTTGTGGGAAGCCACGGAATATACATTTTCCCCGCATATTGCTTACCCTCGACTTGCCAGATATTTCCTGAGCAACTGCTTTGCACCAGGAAAATAAATTTAAGACTCAGACTCTGTCCTTATAATGCCTTATTGGCCAGGAAGTCCTGCCTCACTTAACAATTATTTTAGGGGATGTTTACACAGTAGCTATCAAAGTAATGAGAGCGTTAAGGACTTTGCACTTGGGATGACCTAATTCTAGGTTTCAGTACGATTTTAAAGGTTGTTCCGAGCTTTTTGTTTTGCTGTTTTCCATGGTTGACTCCCAGAGAGCTTTGAATGATTTTGTTGTTGGTAGTGGCAGTATGTTGTTGTTATGAGGGTCATTAGCAGAACATAACTTGTGATTCATTAAAGACAACCTCCCAGGGCGTATATCATTTTGAAGCTTGTGAAGGCTCGAAGTGATGAGGGACTATGGCTGAGGTGGACCAAACAACTGGTTTCTTTTCTGAAAAATATGCTGGGGCAAGGTGGTGGTGGCCAGGCTTGAGTTTAGGAAGGGTGTCATGAACTAGTGTCGTGATTATTCTATTTTCTGAGCTGAATGATGAAAGGTGGCAAAGCCATTTCCTTGCGGTGTTTGCGGCAGCCTGCAAAGAGGCTGAGCTGCTTGGGGATCACCAGCCCAAAGCCAGCGCTGGTGAGGGAGAGGGCTCCCGGGGGCCCGAGGGGAGATGCCTTCTGTCTTGCCCTGCCCGTGAGGAAGAGCAAACACTGACCGCAGAGGCTTTTTGTCTAAGCCAAGTAAAAAATGATGTAAAGCCAGTCTCGGACTCTTCTTCAGCTTTTGTGCTGGATGTTTCAATTGTCTTTCTTCTGTATTCCTAGCCATGTCCCTGCTTTTAATGAATTGTATATAAAGCAAAGTGGATCTTGGACTAGGATAAAGAGATAACTTTTGCTACTATTGATTTCTGTGCTGTTGGATTCACTTTTTACCTAAAGTTCTAGAAAGACTCCCAGAGCTGAAGACCTAGTGGTATTTTTTTCTCCTTCAACTTCATTTCCAAAGCAAACTGGTGTCTTCTAAGTAATCTGGTATTTTCAACCTTGTTACTGCTTTGAATGTTTGTCAAGTATTACAGGCCTGTGTTTTAAGGGCCATGTTCACCGGCAGTGTTGAGTAACCTTCCTCGGAGTGAATTAATGGAACTCATTGTACAAGTCTGTTAGGGGTGAAAATGAGTTATGGTTTTTCCCATCCTCCTTTATGACAGTTATTAAGTATGAAGATACACAGCCATAGGTAGAAGGACCAGTGTTTTATGGCCAAGGGATTCCATTCAATTAGATAAACAATTGTTAGGTACCAACTCTGTCCCAATCTCCATAACTAATCCTTGACACTAAGAACAATGATACAGATTACCTAGATAATTCCCCGTATTCAAAGCCATGTTGATTCTAGGAAGTACAAAAGAATACAGCCTAAAGGGATTTGATTCCACTCCACATCCGAGAGCTAGGAGTGGGTGAAAGAGGTTTCAGGTCTGGGGTGCGCAGTGTGCACTGTTTATCAGACTACGCTACACTGGCCCTGTTACCTTAGGCAAGTCACTTCACCCCTGTGATACTCAGCTGAACAGTAGTGTGTAATACTTTATAAACGCCTCCTAGAAGCAGGAGGTGGAGGAAAGCAGATGGTTTGACTGCAGTGTCTGGGGTGGAACTGAGTAACCATAGTGGGATGCCTGAGCCAACAGAACATACTTAAACAGCTCCCAGGGTGGCAAATTCAAGTAAAAGACTAGAGTTAGAGGAAAGATTAAGTGGTTTTTTTCTAAGTCATATATCTATATTTAAATATTCTTACCCATATAATTACTCATAAATACTTTATGTGACCATGCATTAACTTGAATTTATGAAAGTACCTTTAAACCCAGAGAATCAAAGGATTTTGAAATGTATGGTTAAAGAACTTAGCCTGTTTGGCAGAACTCCATTTTGGTTCAGCTCCTGCAGTTCTGGTGCAGGTTCAAGCATGATGCCCTTCTGTTTAGGCAAAGATACTGTTTCACAAAAGAGCTTACTCCATTATGGTTCCCAGTTGGAGGGGAGAGGGGGGGACAGTAAATGAATATAACTCTAACACTGGTTCTGATGTGGGTCCCCAGAAGGTTCTAGAAGGAAGAGTGGTGAACAGAGCTGTACAGGCAGCTGACTGCTCCTTCCTGGCCCTTTCATCAGCCCACCCTTGCTTCTCTTCCCAGATGGTCACCCTCACGTCACTGCTGTGCAGTGAAGTTAACAAATGTTTTAATTTCACTGCTGAGTAGTTCCACAGAAGGGATAATAAGAAGCACATCAGATGCCACCATTGATGAAAGCAGCTCTTCCCCACTGGCTCAAATAATAATGCCAGACAAATTGGATATGGAGAGAGGTGGGCTTAGGATACTCTGAGAACTTCAAGTAAAAAAAAAAAAAAAAAAAAAAAAAAAAAACAGGCTAGGATGGGCTGAGATAGCTACATGCTGTAACTGTCCAGGTGTGCAAGTGGGTGCGACAAAGGGAAGGGGAAACAGAGAAACACGTTTGCCTTAGCCAGCAGTAGTTGTGAATGGGTTTGCGTTAGTGGTCTGTTATCGTGGGATGAATTATTCTGAAAATTAGAGGCTTAACACAGTACCTTTATTACCCCAGGGGTTCTGCAAGTCAGGATAAAACTGACCTAGAGCCCCTCCCAGGGGTGCTCTCCAGGAAGGCAGCAGCCCTCGCGAGACTTGTCCTTGTTCACGCCAATGGCTGCTGTCTGGAGACACACTTCTCTGCCATGGGGGCCTCTCTCAGCCAGCTGCTTGCTTTGCCAAGAAACAGACAGAGACAGAAGAACACCTGCACAGAGAACATGCACGACAGGAGTCATGGTCACCTAACTTCAAAAGTGGCATCCTTGGGTTGGTGTGTTACAGTGGCTTAAGTCACTGCCTGTGATGCTGGCATCCTGCTTCGGGGCCATTTCAAGTTCCTGCTGCTCTACTTCCAATCCAACTCCCTGTTAATGTACCTGGGAAAGAACAAAAGACAGCCCAGGTACTTGAGCCCCTGTCACCTATGCAGGACACCCACTGGAGTTTCAGGCTCTTGGCTCCAGCCTGGCCCAGCTCCAGCATTGTAGCCATTTGGGGAATAAATTAACAGATGAAAGATCTCTCTATGACTATCCTCTTTCTCTATGGCCGTTTCAAATAGATAAAATAAATATTTTAAAAATAAAGTGACATCCTGTTATTCTTGCCGTTCTGAGGCACCAGGAGTCATCTTGGAGGCTGCTGTCTTGGCTCTTCACAGTGGCAATGAAGAGCTGTTATAAGGAAATAATGGGTCAGCTGATAAAAGCATGAAAAGGTTAATAATCTGATTAAAAGAAGAGAAGCATTTAAATGATATCTTTGGGGCTGGCATTGTTGTATAGAGGGTATGGTGGTATACTGGGATGGCCATTTTGGCCAGCTGCAGAGTGGAGCTGCAGATGGAAGATGACTCTTGTCTTTCCCTCTAACTCTGACTTTCAAACAAATTGTCTAAAATACGTGTGTGTGTGTGTGTGTGTGTGTGTGTGTGTGTGTGTGTGTGTGTGTGTGTTTTGTTGTATTTGTTTAGATTTGGGGGGGGGGCAGATTTACAGAGAGGAGAGACAGAAAGATTTTCCATCCTCTGATTTATTGCCCAAATGGCTGCAACAGCCAGAGTTGAACCAATCCAAAGCCAGAAGCTTCTTCCAGGTCTCCCACATGGGATGGTCCCAGGGCTTTGGACCATCCTCTACTGCTTTCCCAGGCCACAAGCAAGGAGCTAGATGGGAAGTGGAGCAGCTAGAACACGAACCAGCACCCATATGGGATCCCAGTACATTCAAGGTAAAGATCTAGACACTGAGCTATCATGCCAGCTCTTCCTTTCTTCCTTAAAGTTCATAGAAGTTACTCCAATGAAATCTCTTTTTCTTAAGATTTACTTTTGTTTTTTGAAAGGCACAGTTACAGGTTGAGAGACAGAGAATCTTCCATCTGCTGGTTAACTTCCCAAAGGCCTCAACAGCTAGGGTTAGACCAGGTCAAAGCCAGAAGCTTTGGATCTCCCACATAAGTGCGAGGACCCCAAACAGTTGGGTTGCCATCCTCCATTGCTTTGTAAGTCACCATTAACAAGGAGTGGGATCCAAAGTGAAGCATCTAGGACTCAAACTGGCACTCACATGGATGCCAACATTGCAGGCAGCAGCATAAGTCACTACACCATAGTGTCAGCCCCAACAATGAAATCTGGACTGTTTATCCAAGTTAATTTTCGGAGCTGACCACAATACATGAGAAACTATTGTTTATGCATTTATCCAAAAAGGACAGAGATCGGTCCTCCATTCACTGGTTCACACTCCGAATTCTCTGGACAACAAGAGTTGGGTGAGAACAAGGCCAGGAGCCAGGAACTCCATCGGGATCTCCCATGGGGCTGCCTCCATTCACATAAGACCAAAGAAGAGAATGCTGATTGGAATTTATTTTGCCACTGGGCTTGTTGATATTGTAGTACCAGTTCTAGACATGTCCACATGAGGAGTTTAGTTTTCTTTGTGACCCTAAGCCCAAGGCACAGCTTATAGGAACAGACTGGCTCCAGACTCAAGTGGAGATGGAGGCTGGCATTCGTTTTGAGGATTAGCTGCATAAAGGCTAAAGTTACAGCTAGGTGAGTAAGAGGTTATTAAGAATAACAAAAGGAGAAAAATATCAAGGAGAGAGATGACTCTCGGGTACTGCTGTAGTTATGAATCTGGAAGAATCAGTGAGGATAGCTGGAAAGGAATGACCTTATCCAAAAAGCCAGTGAGGTCACAGAACTGTGATAGAGACTGTAGGAATGCCACATGCCACAGGAGGGTTAAGGCACGAAGCCAGACACAAGGCTTGCTGTGTAGACAGTGTGCTTAGAGGAAGCGACTTGGAAGCCTCTCAGAAAGTAGTAAGGCCCATGTCTTTCTTTTTTTTTTTCTTTTTTTTTTTTTTAAGATTTATTTTTATTATTTTTTTCATTGGAAAGGCGGATATACAGAGAGGAGATACAGAGAGGAAGATCTTCCATCCGATGATTCACTCCCCAAGTGAGCCGCAACGGGTCGATACTATGCCGATCCGAAGCCAGGAGCCTCTTCCGGGTCTCCCACGCGGGTGCAGGGTCCCAAAGCTTTGGGCCGTCCTCAACTGCCTTCCCAGGCCACAGGCAGGGAGCTGGAAGGGAAGCGGGGCTGCCGGGATTAGAACCGGCGCCCATATGGGATCCCGGGCGTGCAAGGCGAGGACTTAACCACTTGCGCCACCGCGCCGGGCCCAAGCCCATGTCTTTCTAAATTGTCATTTAGATTGTAAATGATTTAGAGTGTTCTTTTTTTTTTTTTTCTAAATTGTGAGGTTTTAATTGCATTCTCCGGTAATAAAATGACAGCTTACCAAATTTGAAATTCAGATATCCTTGTCCAAAGAAATACTCAAAATGTCTTAAGATCCAGAAAGGTATAATTAGGTAAGACATGCATTAAATCTGTTAAAAAAAAAAATTCACAGAACATGTAACAGCAGGCTGAGCATGCAGAGCTCTGGATCACACAACCCATGTCTTCAAGATGTCCAGTGGGAGGGGAGAGAAGCAGGTCATCAGCTCATGGGGGCCGAGGAGACCCCCAAGCAAGGCAAGGGCCTGGAGTCGGAGAGCGCCGAGGGCAGAGCAGGGCCGGTGCAGCCAGTGGAGGGAGGGAGGGTTCCGCTGCGGTGGTTGCTGAGGGCAGGTCCTAGGCCTGCCTAATCTCTCTGGGTCCTTTTGTCCCACAGACCTTAATGGAATGTCTTAAGGGTGAAGGGCACTCAGCATTTCAGAGAATCCTGAGTAAAGTAAGAGAAGAGAGCCTGGATGTTTCCACGGTTACGTCCCTGCTGAGGCTGTACCAGGATTCTAATCCTGCAGTCAAGACAGCACTGTTACACAGAAAGCCCAAAGATGCAGGACCAGGACAACCAAGAGGTAGGAGGAACTCTGCCCACCACGTGACCGAGCTACCATTGGGAAAGATGCCAAACTTCATTCCTTCTAATGGTGTCTACCTTCATCACACACATTCTATGTGTTGTTCCAGAACCTGCATGTTAAATGCGTACAAACTTGAATGTGAGTCTTCATTTATAGCCCCTAGTTAACTAGTCTTATACCTTGAAATTGGAGAGTACCAACAGTGTTCTGTCTTTCAGAAGCCACAGATCCAAACCCGTAAGCCGGGTGCCCACAGTGAGCCGGTTCACTGACAGCACTTAAAGGCTGCTGCTTCTCTCATTTGGGTTAGGTACAAAGCACTGGCCTTGCCAACCAAAAGTTAACCTCTGGCTGGCTCTGCAGCTTTGTGCTTCGACAGATAAATGAAACACTTTTTCTTTCATAGAGTTTAAACAGAATAATAAAGTGTTTTCCTCTCTGAAAGCAGTTCTGCATTCGGGTGCTCAGAATAAGCTGAGAGCCACTTTACTATTCTGTTAGATCTCTTGACAAACCTTGCTGTCATTTTCTTCAAATTGACTAGCTGCTCTTGTGTGTCTCTAATTCTTTCTCCCCCAGGGAGCACCGAGCAGGGAAAGACCTTGTCTGTCCTGTTACTGGAACAGAAAGAGGGGCTGACACAGTGTGTGACACAGCTGAGGCCCATTGTGGAGTTCCTGCAAACAGCCGAGGAAGGATTCCTGCCCAGCACTGAGAGAAGGGTAACTCCAGCTCCCCATTTCCTGTAGCACTCCAGCAGATAAACAAGCCAGTACCTCTCGGGTGGCACAGTGCACTTGTTAACTTAGTTGTGTTTGTGCCTGGTACATAGGCAGCACCTTGGGATCCAAATTCTCATTCCACACCCCTTGATGTCCCTTGCAGCGTCCTTCTGGGTAAGTGCTTGGGTGATGTTCCTGCTCAGACTCAAGGAATTCTTACTACAAGAGTTAAAATGTTGAGGCACGTTTTCTATTGCAATGTCACTCTTCCTTTTTTACAGAAACAGTGCGCTATTCATATATAAAAAACTTGGGAAACAAGCAAACAAGAAAAATTCAAATATCACTCTTTGGAGGTGATCGCTGCTGTCATTTGAAGCACATATCCCCACGTGCCCTTGTTTGACTCAGCCTGGGTTGGGGTTATACAGAACATATGGCTTTCTAATTTGTATTTAATGTGCCTATTTCAATATGTATAATATGGGCTGAGGTAGGTATATTATGTTTTAGTGGACATACCACAATTCCATAACTCCTTATCACTAGGTATGTGTCTCTATCATGCACAGAACATCTTTGCAAACACATCTTTGCATGCATGCTTCTCAACTTAGTTCCTTAGAATGAGTTCTAGGAAGTGGTCTTTGGACTAGGGAGGATAATATTTCCCACTGTTGGATACGTACCGCCAGAGTGTCCTTCAGGAAGGTTGGACCGATTTGCTCTCCCACCAGCTAGCTACTAAAATCCTCATAAAACTGCTGGCATGAGTTCTCAAGGCAGCTAGATAACTGTATTTGTTGGTGTTATTGATTTCAACTTTGTGCTAAAAATATTTTTATATCTGGAAGGAAAGAATAGGGATAGAAAACTGTTGTGGCATCAGTTCTTAAAACTATAGGAAGTGGCTTAAATGTTTAGTACAGTCTAGAAACCCCCAGTATAATGGCTTAAGCATTGGAGCCATTGACTACTGCATCACAAGTGACTGCTTTTCTCTGCTATTATACAGCTCGTATGAATGGAAATAACTTTTAATCTAAAAGCTGTTTTTTTTCAAATCATGTTGTACAACGTCTAACTTACTTGGAGGTCTTAGAAAAAAATTATATGTATGCATATATATATATAAGGTTAATCTACAGATTGTCATCTCAGGCACTCAGTTTAAATAAGTTACTTGTAACTCAGAGTATGTGATACTCGTTTGGTGAGTTCATTCAATTACTCATTCAAACCTCCTTATTAGCTAAATTGAACGTGTCCTTTGAACTGTTCCATTATCTTGGTGAAATGGCATTTACAGATAGAGCCTGAACTCAGCCTTGTTTCCCGCAGCAGCACAGACCACACTGTCATTTTCTTCTGTCACTTTCAGTTTGCTTCACAGAAAAAAACGCTGAAGCAGAAGAACTTAAGTTAGTTACAAACCACAAAAGCACTTCTAAAGATTGGAGACCCACCAGAGCTTCATTAAGCTGTTCTTTCTCGTGAAAATTGAAGCACACTAATAAAATGGGAGTGTAGAGGTGAATATTGATTGAATGGTCTGAGTATTTTACATCATCTAGAACATGTAAACAGACTATTTAGAACTTTCTTCTGTTATGAAATTATGCTAATTAAGATGTCATGACCCTTATACGTAAATACTTCGGGTTCTTTTTGTAAGAAACCGTAAATAGAAGTGGTTTTTTTGTTTTTGTGTTTTTGTTTTTGTATTTTTTAGTTCTCAACGCTTTACTTAAACACAAAATGTGCGCCCAGTTGGCTATTCGTTTTCTTCGCTGCGCAGCCTGACATTGGGGTTGGTGACTCGGATGGCCAGCTGGCTGCCCTTTCCCCGACAGCTTTGTGGTTCTTGGAGGTGACATAGTGAACAGTCTGCACATGAGCAGCACCTTCAGCCCCTTGCTGTTGTGACCAGGAGCTTGCGGAAGCCGCTGGGCAGCATGTGCTTGGTCTTCTTTCTGTTCCCGTAGCTGATGCTGGGCAGCAGGATCTGGCCCTTGAACCTGCGCTGCACCCTGTTGTCAGTGTCCCAGGGCTCCCGCCAGTTCCACTTGATCTTGACATAAAGGTCACACTGGTGCCAGTTGAATTTCTTGGTCCTCTTTTTGACAATCTTGGGTTTCACCAGGGCTCTGAGGGCAGCCATGATGCTGGGGAGAAGGCTGCTCAAATAGAAGTGTTTTTACATCAGGACTGGAAACAGACATCAAAGTAGGAATTACTAGATTATGTTTGTTGTGGACCGTGTGCCAAGCATTTTGTTAAGGACATTTTTGTTTATTTTTACTTTATCTGAAAGACAGATAATGAGAAATCTTCCATCTGGTAGTTCACTCTCCAAATGCCTATAAAAGCCAAGAACTAACGAGGCCAGAGCATGCAGCTTAGTTCAGGTCTCCCATATGACAGCAGGACCCAGCTGCTGCTGAATTGTGAGTTAGGAGGAAGCTGGATTGAAAGTGGAGGAGTCAGGACTAGAACCAGGCACTCAGAGTATGGGAGGTGGGCAGCCCACATGGTGACTTAATTGCTGAATCAAATGCCAGCTCAGAATCTTTTATTATTAGGGGTTTGTTTGTTCAAGGTTTCATGTATTTATTTGAAAGGTAAAATTTTAGGGCCCGGCGCGGTGGCGCAAGTGGTTAAAGGTCCTCGCCTAGCACGCCCGGGATCCCATATGGGCGCCGGTTCTAATCCCGGCAGCCCCGCTTCCCTTCCAGCTCCCTGCCTGTGGCCTGGGAAGGCAGTCGAGGACGGCCCAAAGGCTTTGGGAACCTGCACCCGTGTGGGAGACCCAGAAGAGGCTCCTGGCTTCGGATCGGCATAGTATCGGCCCGTTGCGCTCACTTGGGGAGTGAATCATCGGACGGAAGATCTTCCTCTCTGTCTCTCCTCTCTCTGTATATCCGCCTTTCCAATGAAAAAATAATAAAAATAAATCTTAAAAAAAAAAAAAGATAAAGAATTGCAACTGCAGCATGAAAATTGCATACAGCTGCTTTAAAAAAAAAAAAAAAAAAAAAAAGGTAAAATTTTAGAGAGAGACTGAGAGAAAGAAAAGTCCTTCACCCACTGGTTTACTGCCCAGATGGCTGCAGTGGCTGGGGCTGGGGCTGTGATACTGAAGCCGGGAGTGAGACACTCCATGCAGGTCTCGTATGGGTGCCAGGGCCCTGATTGCCTGGCATCTTCCGCTGCTTTCCCAGGTGCCCTGAGTCACAAGTATTGTTTTCACTCTAAGCGTGAGGGGACAGAAGCTCAAGGAAGTCTAGTTACTCACCCAAAGACGACTGTTTAGGGCCTTAGGCTTCTAATCTCTGCAGTCGCTTAACCACCACAGGTGCTCCTCATAGTATGTCAGGTCACGTATGTCCACTGTGTTACACTTGCCTCTGCGGACAGCAGCTGCGTTTTACAGAGCCCTCGTAACAACTGTGCAAGAGTTGGTATTAGTATTTCTTTTGTAAATGAGCAAAACAAGGCTGAAAGAATTAAAGAGCCTGCCCAAGATCATACAAGCAATAAATAATACAACTAGAGTTCAGACAGGATCTGCCTGGCTTTAAAGCCCATGCATGGGCCCGACGCAATAGTGTAGTGGTTAAAGTCCCTTGCCTTGAACTTGCCGGGATCCCATATGGGCACCGGTTCTGATCCTGGCAGCCCCACTTCCCATCCAGCTCCCTGCTTGTGGCCTGGGAAAGCAGTTGAGGATGACCCAAAGCTTTGGGACCCTGCACATGCTTGGGAGACCCGGAAAGAAGTGCCTGGCTCCTGGCTCCGGATCAACACCGCACCGGCCATTGCATTTACTTGGGGAGTGAATCATCAGATGGAAGATCTTCCTCTCTGTCTCTCCTCCTCCTCTCTGTATACCTGACTTTCCAATAAAAAAATAAATAAATCTTTAAAGCCCATGCATGCTAACTGGCTGCCTCATTATGTATGAAATTTTGACATAGGAACTAAAATTTTGCACTGAAATTGGTACAGTTTTTAGATGTAAGCTGTTAAATTATGATTCATTTAGTTAATCTTCTATATATTTGGACCTTAAAAAGAGAATGATTATTTTATGTAATGACAAGGAATGTAACAACAAGATTTATTATGTGTATGTGTGAAGCCAATTTGAGTTTAAAGCCAAATTCATTATTTTAAAATGAAAGTTAATAATTTGATAATGGCAGCCGCTAGCATACTGCCATGACTGATTTGCTTCACTGGTTCTCCAGAGCGCTGGCATCCCAAAGGCAAGCTCACAGTTCAAGCACCATGGGTCTGGGCGGTGTATGTTGGACAACAATCCCCGCTATGTCAGGTCCACGTGATGCCAGGATACCCGAGTCATGCATAGCCCATTGTAGTCCATTAACAAATAGTTCCGTTATAATAGGAAGGCATCTGTAAAATATCTGTCTTGTGTTTCATTTTCAGCCTTTTCCTAGAGCCCTATGCCCTTTGCACTCAGAAAAATCTTTTTGTACACCAAGGAAGAGCAAGAGAGTAGCATTGTTGTCTTAGGACCACAGCTGATACCTGTGGCCATGGAGAATGGGAGGGATGGGTGAGCAAGAACTCACAAGAAGAATATTCCAGAAATGCAATTCAAATAATGTAAAAGCAAGTAAAATAATAGGATTAGTCTGACTATAACCTACACAGTCATCTTAAACTTTACCGAGCAAAGATTGAGAATACACTTAGTAATTAATTGCCAGTCTTCTTACAGCTGGTTTGTTATCTAATGAGCCAGGTCCTACGGGCTGAGTGTGAGAACGTTTCCACAAAATCCAAGCAAGGAAACAGTGATGTGCCTTTGAGAAACGAAGGTTTCCCGGATGCTGCATGCAGAATGTTTTAGACCTTTGTTGAAATGGAATAGAGTAGCGGAGAAGTGTTGGAGACCATGGGAGGAGGATGCAGAAGCAGGCGTTCCGTAATGGCAGCCCGCTGGGCTTTCCAGTGGTGTGTCAGATACGTTTCCAATTGTCGGTCACTGGTGTCTGCTGATTGCTTGCCACCGCAGGTGATTCTCAGTTGCTGTGAGAGCGGAACACCCAAGGAGGCGATAGAGAATTTGTTGCACAGAATAACTGAAGAGAAGACCCTGACTGCTGAGAGTGTGCTCAAGCTCCTCCAGGCTGTGAAGATGGCATTCCCGCACTTGGACCTTCTGCTGGAGAATTTGCAGAGGTTAGCTGCATTGCCCAGTGCCACAGGTACCCGTTAATTGTTAACTCTGTGGGCTGAAACTACCCCTACAGAAAATTATAGCTTACAACACCCTCTTGGCTCCGTGCTAAGGACAAAATATTCAGAAATGTCATTGCAAAGCAGAAACTAGAAGCCACAAATCAGCGGTTCTCAATATTGCTAAAGAGCTAAAATCAGGATGGCTTCAAGCCCACTCAAGGTGCTCCTCAGGTTCTGTGGATTAACATACAGCTTTCCCAGCACCTTCCAGGGTTGCCTGCGAAAGGCAAAGGAATATGCAGGCTCACAGACTGAGCATTGAGAAGAGCCAGGGTGACAGGTGTGAGCAGCCGAGACGTAAAGTTGGGTTGCCCCAGCCCTCCTTGAAAGCTGCCTAATTGGAGCAGTCCCAGAACCGACTTCTCTGATCATTCAGGTTGGGGAAAGGAGTCCACAGCCCATTCCTTAGAAAGACAAGCAGTGTGAGCCAGTTGTCTCCTACAACAGGACATTTAGGACTGAGTTGGTTTTCAGAAGAAGGTTATTTGGAGAGGGGTAGCACTTTCTTCTAGCTTACAGACATAATATGTGCATGTTCAAACTCAAATAGCTCAAAAAGTAAAGAACAAAAGGCCTAAATCCTGTCCAAGTGTGTTAGAATTACTGTTTTGACGTATTCTGCTCATGACATTATTTCTATCATGTTGAGACTCTACCATGTTTGTGACGTTGGGATTTCTGCCATCAGGCAGATGAAACATACTCCACTGCATTTCAGGGAACTCCCTATTCCCGTTTGGTGGCTGTGTGGCTTCCCGTCCTAAGGATGTGTGTAAAGTGTTACTCCAGCCCTTGTTTGGGAGTGGATGCAGCCTAATGGTTAAGACCGACTCAGTTAAGAATCCTTGAGCATGCTGCCGGGAGACCCTGGGCAGGTGGTTTCACCTTTCTGGACCCCGTTTTAGTTGTGAAATAGGGAGAACTTGGTACCCATCACATTGATTTATGTGGGTACCATGAACTTAATTCTTGGGAAACATCTGGCCCAGTGCCTGGCAAGGAGTTGGCCCTCAAACATTGCTTGTTAGTATCTTGACCATCACCACAGATGTATGCGGCAACAGTTGTCTTTACAGGTCATTTTAAATTTTTGCCTTTAAATAATTTCTTAAGATTCTAACAGTAGAGTCACTGGGCCACAGAGGGAACAAGTTTTGTAAAGTGATCTACAGAGCTGAGGAAAATTCCTCATAATTTTGATTATAATTATTTTCCAGTATATGTGGCCTTTTAAATAAAAATCCCCGCGAGATTGGCTCCAAGGGTGTGGATCAGAATTGTAGGTCAGCCTCGTGCATGGGCTCTGTAGCCGGTGTATTTTGGTATACCACTCGGATGCTTTACCTCAGGCCTAATGAATGACGCTCCTGAATCTGTCAACTGCAGCCTTCGAATTATCCCCCTGTTGGCAGTTGCCACCTTTTAGCACCAGACACAAACTTTCAGAGCACCCAGTGGTTAAGTGTAAGCCAGAGGAGATCTGAACCTGTGTGTGAGGCCTCAGGCTGGCAGGTGGGCTCCACTCTACAGAGGCGACTGCAGGTGCACTGGTTTCTCTGCGTCTCATTTGTAGCATCCCGTGGTCCTCTGTGGGAGGTGCTCTGAGAAGGTTTTGTTGCATCAGACATGTGTTGCTGACATCTTTACAGCCCGGTCAAGCCCTGGTGATTTGGGAACTGAGCTCTTGCAGCGGTACCAAGAAAACCTCTCTGAAATTTTCACCGACAACCAGATGTTACTACAGGTGATCCCACATGTGAGGAGCATAACCCCTGGAGAAAGAGAGGTGAGCCGGGTGGTGCATCGGAGAGGCCAGTAAAGTAAAAGGACAGAGAAAGGAAAGAGAAAAAGTAATAAAATTGGGCTCGGCACGATAGCCTAGTGGCTAAAGTCCTCACCTTGGATCTGCCGGCATTCCACATGGTGCTGGTTTGTGTCCTGGCTGCTCCACTTCCCATCCAGCTCCCTGCCTGTGGCCTGGGAAGACGGTTGAGGACAGCCAAAGCCTTGACCCTGCACCCACATGGGAGACCCGGAGGAAGAAGCTCCTGGCTCCTGGCTTCAGTTTGGCTCAGCTCCAGCCATTGTGGCCACTTGGGGGGTGAACCAACAAATGGAAGATTTTCTCTCTGTATCTCCTTCTGTCTGTAGATGTGCCTTGCCAATAAAAATAAATAAATCTTTTTTTTTAAAAAGACTAAAAAATAAATAAGATTACGTATGTGTGTGTGTGTGTTACATGGTGGAGGCTACAGAAAGTTATTTTGTAAAACTGCATGGATTTCAAAATTTGCAGCAAAACAAACATCTTCTCATTCCATTTCCCATGATCTTTTTACCCTGTGTTTATGTTTTCTATAAATATACATGTGCAGCTGTGTTGAGAAATGCTGAGTAGAAAAGGAATCATAGAAGATAACTCAATTTCTAAAGTGGAGTCACAAGTGGGGTTGTTGTCATTCTTTCATAAGGAGGTGCTCAGAAAGCGATGGAGACCCTTGTCCTGCATAAAGGGTCTCAGGTCCAGGGAGGGGAAGTTGGGAGGGAGATTGGAAATTCCTCCCCAGAAACGTGGGCACTGCAACCCAGGGCTTGGACCAGCAGCTCTGCATTTGGGCTGGTGGCTACCAAGTCTCTCACGTGCGCGTTTGTGCTGCATCTTGAAGGTCATGGAGAAGCTTGTGAAACGTGATCCTGGTTCGGGGGGGTTCAGCTCCCTGCTGTCAGCAGTTCTAGAAAAGCAGACCCTCTCTGCAACAGCTGTTTGGCAGCTTCTACTGGAACAGAAGACCAAGTCGTGCCCGTTGAATCTGCTCCTGGAGCAAGTGCGGAGGGAGCCTGGCGCAGACGCCTTCTTCCAGGCAGGTACGCATCCTGACCTCTGCCATGGCCTTGCCGTCACTAGAAGTTGTTATCAGGCAGATGAGAGGAAGAGCTTCCTTCTAATCATCCACACTTGATCAGATTTAAGGACTGGCAGCTTTGTTCCAGCACACAGTAGTTTGTAAACTTAAAGGAATAGCAACAAAGAAGAAAACAAGTAGTTACTTTAACGTTATATTTGTCATCAACGTATTCTAGTCTGTGCTTTGTGGGAAACAGGCAACAGATGATGTGTGTTCTTATGATAGATTATTGAGCATTGGAAAGATGCAGAGAAAAGGTACTTAATTTTTACTAATGAACCTTCAAACCTCTTTCTTTCAGTGACCGCCCCAGAAAGTGCTGCCTTAGAAGTGTTCGTGAGGCACAACAGACTGATTAGAGAGGCAATCCAGCAAAGTCTTGAGCTCAAGTCTCTCGCCTCAGAGGAGGAGCGCCTGGCAGAGACTGTGAAAGAGGTGGGAGAGAATCAAAGCAAGCCCCTTTCCAGGGTGTTTGACCACGTTAGTGTCTGGGACTGCCTTCAGTGCTCAGCATCTGCAGAGCCCCAGCTCTGGGCCCAGCCCATGCTAAGCTAGCACCTGCTTTACGCTTTTCATTTCCTCAAACCTCAGGGCCAGGTAATGTCATCATATTTTATGGACAAGAGAGCTCTGGCTCAGAGAAATAACTCCTGTGTCCAGGATGCTCCAGTAGGTGAAAGATGAAGCCAGGACTTTTTCCCCCAGAAAGATTATTTATTTCAAAGGCAGAGTGGCATAAAGAATGGAGGAGAAACAGAAATCTTCCCTCTGATGGCTTAATTCCCAGATGCTTGCAACAGCCAAGGCTGGGCTGGGCCAAAACCAGGAGCCAGGAACTGTTCCACCTGGGTGGCAGGAATCCAGGTACTTGGGCCATCATCTACCACTGCCCAGTTTCATAAGCGGAAAGTAGAGGAGCCAAAACTCTATGTCAGACGCTGCAATATTAACTCACTGTGTTGCTGTCACAGTGCCTGCCCCTAAAACCAAGGTTTGAATCGGGTTCATGTTAAATCTAGATTTATTTCATTTGTTTAAACCTAGGTAAATCTCAAAATAACCATGACAGCATTTGCTGACATGTTGTAAGAGGCATCATCTTTCAGATGAAGGAAAATAAAATTTATTCTATTACAGTTCTGTTCTGGCTCCTCAAAAGAGCCAAGATGAACATAGCTAGAACAAAGCTTTTACCCATATGGGGTAGCAAATAATGCCAACTCATTTTCTGTAAGGCTTCTCACAAAGTGGCCAGCATCCCAGAAAAGCCAAGTGGGGGTCGCAGGGGACTCCAAGGATCTCCAGACCAGGATGACATGGAATCTTAGGGAGAGGAGAAGCATCAGGGAGCAAAAATTAAACCGCAGGTTCACCCGTGATGCCCGGTGGGTCCAGGTAGGCGTGGAAAGTGGGCAGCAGGCAGATGGTGTATGTGTGCCAGGCTGGTGTGACTCTCAGGTGGGGACAGGGTGGCTGGGGTTTCTTCAGGGCATCCGAGGAAAGGGTCATCTGTGAGACTGCCACTCGCTCACGCTTCAGAGGTGGGGCCTCTGTGGCTGATGAGGTTTAACCTCACTAATGAGTCTCCTGCCTGCCTTCGGGGACATCAGATTTATTTAGACAGACTTGAAAAGAACAGAAATAAAGTATCTTCCAAGTGAAAATTCCATCTGGCCATCTGTGGATCGTTCAGCTTTATTTTTCTCAATGTGCCGCCTCTTTATGCTGATAGCTCTAACTTTGTAAAAGAGGGCGGCGTCGAGATGATATTCTTGGCCTCTCTAAAGCCCCTATTTGAACCTTCTTTAGAATGCTGAGTTTCTTTATGAAAGAAAATAATGTTTAAAAGGGTCAATCTAAATTTCTAAAAATATGAAGCTGCTGATTGTGTGGAATCATTTCCATGCATGAAGACAATTTTGTATTAAGAGAAATTATCCTGATCTTCAGAATGGAGACAACCGAATCCCATAGCTTTCCAAGTTTTTAATGTTAATTTAGGAGACTCGTTGCTTCTGAGTATTTCGTAATGGACTTTTTTTTTCAAGACTTATATATTTATTTGAGAGGCAGAGTTGACAAAGAAAGAAGGTGGGGAAAGACAGAGAGAGATCTTCCATCTACTACTGGTCCATTGTACAAATGACCACAGTGGGTTGGCATTATAGGCAGAGGCTTAATCCGCTACACCACAGTGCCATCCTGCGTACTGAACATCTTAATGCTTTCCTGCTTGTGTATCCACTCTTTATGTTTGCATGTTTGGATATCGGCTTTCTTGATGTGCTGCTTTGCATAGGTTTCTTGGGTAAGCAAGGCTCTCTGCTACATTTATTATGAGAAATATAAACTACTTGTAGATGTAGCAGTGCCTTCCTGCTTCCTGCTGTTAGCATGGTTCTTTGCTAGGTTGAAAACCATGGGGAAAATCTGCTGACATTAACCCAACACTTTATCTGCCGGTGTTTAGATGCTGAGCATTCCCTCTGAGGCAGCCAGCCCTGAAGCTTCCCTGAGAATGGCACTGAGTAGAGCCATGGACAAGTCCATCTCGGCCGCTAAAATGTGTCACCTCCTGCGCACTGTCCATAAATCCTCTCCCGACCTGCAGCCCGTCATGCAGGAGCTGGCGCACCTGGGTAAGGAGCACTGTGGGGCTGGGTCCTGTCAGGCTTCCAGGTTGCTTGTTTCTTTGTTGAGAGAAACAGGAAATGATCTGTGTCAGAGCTCATCGCTACCTTAAGCTGCTCCCATGTTTGATATGTTCTCAGTCCTGGGCAGATCTAAGACAGATGCTGAAGCTGATGCTGTTGTGTTGATCGGAAAAGTAAAGATGACAGTGGTGTCACTAGAGTTTTCGGAGGATCCCCAAGTAGTCTCCAGTGTCCTGTAAGACTTTTACAGAACAAAACAGAAATGATTCTGGAGCCACAGGTTCTCTCTCCTGTGTAGGTGTCCTCACTAAGGAAGATGGAGGGAAGGAAACGTGGACGGTGAGCAGCGCGTCTCACCTGGAAGGCAATGACAGAGAAGGAGAAGAGGCAGCTGAACCAGCAGGAGACAAGTGCCAGTCCAGGGAACAAAACAGCCAAGGAGAGGCCGGCTCCTTGCCAGAACCACCGGAGAAAGAAGCTTCTGCCTCCCCTGACTCTGCCAAGAAAAGCTTCGTCTGTAAGGCCTGCGACAAAAGCTTCCACTTCTACTGCCGCCTGAAGGTGCACGTGAAGCGCTGCCGGGTGGCCAAGAGCAAACAGGTGCAGTGTAAGGAGTGCAATGAGACCAAAGATTCTAAGAAAGAACTGGAGAAACATCAGCTGGAGGCCCACAGCACAGGAGGAGAGCCCGGCGCCCCCAAGAAGAAGAAGAAGAGGCTGCCAGTGACCTGCGACCTCTGTGGGAGGGAGTTTGCGCATGCCTCAGGTACAGTGGTGAGCGCAGCGCTGTGGGGTGATCAGGGTTTGGCTTCTAGGCCCTGCCGCCGGTTGTGTGTAGTGAGGGACGTGAATGAGCCCAGCAAGCAGAGGCAAGCGGTCCCTCTGGAGGCAAGGTGGTATTCTGACAACAGCTTGGCTCTGGAAGCAGCTTGGCTGCCCTTCCGTTTCCCTGTTCAGCAGGTAACCTGATACCACTTACTTTTTCAGGTTGTTTCCAAGATTCAAGGTGATAGCTAAACACCAATACAATACCTGTAATGGAGTTAGTACAGAGTAACTGGTAGCTATGATTAGTCATGCTGATAGCCAGCTGTCAGTGCCTGGCTCCCAGGGGGTCTGTGTGCTTGTTTCTTAGGATAGATCAGAGTCACAGAAACTAAGGGCTATGTAGACAGTTCTTTGCCCATGTCCCAAATGCTGGATAAACATAATAACACATAAGAATAGGAGTTTTATTTCCCAATTTCTGGGTGGTTACGTCCTATTTAAGAAAGACAACTGGGTGGGGAAGATAAGTACAGAATTTTTTTCCATTTTTTTTTTTCCCTCATCTAACCAGGAGGGAAGGGTGGTTGGTGGGCAGATGGGCAGCAGAGCTGTGTGAGCTGGGAGGTGGTGAAGCCTGGTGTCCTGATTCGCATTCTGCTTCCCTCCTTGACTTGGCCTGTGACAGAGCTCTTGGGCATCTTCATGCTGGACTTGTGACATTGATGCCCGTGTCTTGTCCCTGGCACTGCCCCGCCTGCAGGTATGCAGTACCACAAGCTGACAGAGCACTTTGATGAGAAGCCGTTCTCCTGTGAGGAGTGTGGCGCCAAGTTCGCAGCCAATTCTACCCTGAAGAACCACCTGCGCCTTCATACCGGGGACCGCCCGTTCATGTGCAAACACTGCCTCATGACCTTCACCCAGGCCTCTGCTCTGGCCTACCACACCAAGAAGAAACACTCAGAAGGTAAGGCCTGGTAGAGCCCCTTATTTCTCCTGCAGCCTGTGCTACTGAGCTGCCAAAACCTATTTGGAATTAGGCTGGGAAGAGAAGAACGGAGTCTCCAGGCACAGGCAGCTGGGGAAATGTGTGTGCACAGACACATGAAATGCTTACTGGGAGCTTGTAAACAGAGGCTGAGCAGCGTTCCCATCGTGCTGTGATGTTATTGTTCTCCGAGTTTTACATAAAGCCAGGAATTCTTAATTTGTGATCAACTTGAGAATGAGAAGGGGCTTGATTGATCACCTACTGTGGATCAGGTGATGCCAAATACTGGGCTGCTCAGCTGGAATCCTTTGCTGTCACAGCTGATGTCTCAGCTGGCGGGAGGGGGACATGAAGACAGTCATGGCCCAGGCGATCAGGGGTGTGACAGGATTGGTGCCAGGACAATGGGGAAGAGTGAAAAGGGCATCTCCAGTCCGGATGGAGAAGAAGCTTCCATATTGTTGGGAGGACGCTGCCACTAAAGGACTGACAACAGCTTTCTCACCAGCTGCTTGTTCTTGCCCTTTTCTTCTGTATTTTAAAAAGTGAACCTTATCAGGCACTTCCCTACTCCAAACTCTACCATGGCTTTTCATCTCACTCAGTGTGAAATTCATAATCCCTAAAATTGCCTGCCAGGCCCTTCCTGAGTCTATCCCCCGATTCTTCCCTCGCTTCTCACTTGCTGAGCTCCCTTCCCTCACACTTAAGCCTCCTTACAGGCTGCAGACCTGCTGGGCACATGGCCCAGCCCTTCCGTTCCTGCCAGTCCCTCTTCGGGACAGCTCTCTGCAATCGCGTCTATGCTTCCCTACCTTCCTCCTCTGAGTCCTTGTCCACGCTGTGCCCTCCCTGTCCACCCTAGAGGAACTCACAGAACCAAGCCTATTCATTTTCTTGCCTTAATGCTTATCATATGATACAGTGTCTGTTGATCTATTTCATATACAGTCTCCCCCAATTGAAGTTTGTTGCATTCCTGCCTGCTGTGTTGGGTGAACTTAGAATGACACTTGCTAATAGTAGGCCCTTGATAAATATTTGTAGCTGAATGCATTCTTTGAGCGCTGTTCAGGCGTGGGGATGTTATAGATACTGTCACAGGGCTTGCCTTCCAGAGAACAAGACGCAATAAACACACAGCTGAGTGAGATCAATTCAGTTGGAGTCGTTACTGTGAAGGAACACAGAGCAGCATGAGCAGTGATGGGCTGACAGGGTGGAGGCATTCTCTGTAGCATCCCTCAGAAAAATGGCCCTGCAGCAGAAACCCAAGTGGACTGAGACATGGAGCCGATGGAGATCTAGAAGAACATCACAGTGCAGAGCCCTCTGCTCACAGGGAACAAACTTGGGTTGCTCAAGAAGCCACAAAGAACTAGGAGGGGCTGTGGCAGAGGCAGGAGAGGAAAGAGTGGTAGGAGGCAAGGCCAGAGAAGTCACCAAAGCCAGGGCTCTTTTGGTTCTTACAAGCCTAGGTAAAAGGACCCATAGTCTTTTTGTGAAATGTCTTGCCTGGTTGCTCTGGAGGTAAGAAAACCTCAGCCGTCTAAGAAGGATGATGTCAGAGTGTCAGCAGAGCTATGTTCCTTCCGGGCACTCTAGGAGAAAACTGTCCCTTTCTTTCCCGTCTTCCCAAACTTGCCTACATGCCATGGCTCCTGGCGCCATTGCTGCAGCCTCTGCCTGCCCCTTCCCTGTCCTTGCTTGCTCTGACAGTGAACCCTGGGAGTCCACTGGAGTCACGTGGGCAATCCAGGATAATCTCCATCACAACAGCCTCGGCCCAGCCGTGAAGTCCTCTGTCTGCAGATCTCAGGGGTCGTTCGGGGCCCATCATGCTGTCTTCCATAGGAAGACCCGAAGCAGAGTCATGGTGAGATCTGATTTAGCTTCTTAGAAGTTGATTCTGGCCCTTCTGGATAATGAACTGTTGGGCTAGGGTAAGAGGATGGGCTCAGCAGAGGGACTGGGGGCTGTCGCAGCAGTGTGTGGAGAAGCAGTTTCCAGACATGAAAGTCTGGAATCTCTGTGAAAATGAAAGTGACAGGACTCATAAAATAGATGTGATGGGAAGAGGGGAATTAAGGATGGCTTTGGAGCCTGGGACATGAGCAGCTGACTATATGACAACGCTGTTTACTGAGATGGGAGAGGTTGGAGGTGGGGAGATTATCAGGAGCTGTGTTTTGTCTATAATGAGTTGGGAGGCCCACTAACCCTCCACATACAGCAGGGGAGCAGTGAGGATTGGCTGTGTGCATCTGGAGCTGTGGACAAAGGTGGACAGTGTCACTGCAGATGGCCCCTGGGGTTCTGAGATCAGAGCTCCCAGAAGAGGGCAGGAAGGTTGTAGACTGAGCCCCTGACTTCTGTCATTTCAAGCCTTCATTTCAAGAACCTAACGTGGTCCTATTCTATCCCCAGTAGGTCAGAAACAAAAATAGGGCTGACTGCTCCAGAAGCAGACCCCCACTGGCCCTCATGTATCTGTGTCAAGGGAGTCCAAAGCCACGTCTTTCAGGGCACAGGCTATAACTGTGTGCTGGGAATGGAGTGAGCTCTTCTTGCTTTTGTGACCTGAAGAACAGAAGGGTCCATGTGATGAGACCCCGTCCTTGTTCTTCAGCCCACACTTGACCCTCTGTGTAGCTGACTGTCAGGTGTGTGTGACAGCTCAGGCTACTTATCCAGTGTGTTGCAATTCACCTGGGGTTTCCATGTCATGAAGCAGGTGATGGTTTCCTGATGTATGCCATAAAATTTTCTTTTGTTTGTGTGGATGCCATAAATGCTGTGTCCTGCTCTAATAAGCCAAATATATTTCCAGGGAAAATGTATGCCTGCCAGTACTGCGATGCTGTGTTTGCCCAGTCCATTGAGCTGTCCCGCCACGTGAGGACCCATACCGGCGACAAGCCATATGTCTGCAGGGATTGTGGCAAGGGCTTCCGGCAAGCCAATGGCCTCTCCATCCACCTGCACACCTTCCACAGTATGTACTGACAGTGTGGGTTGTTGAGCCCTCAGTGCCACGCCTGGAGCTAAGAAAGCCTAGAACAGTTGTAAATGCCACCCCCAGCACTGAGCCCCTTCACTGCCATCCCCTTCTGTATTTCCTGCAAAGCCCAGAGTCACTCATTGCTTTTTTGACAAGACTTGTTCTTCTGGGTCATTATGGGAGGCTCATTGCTCTCCATCCAGGCTAGTTCCCTGTCTTCTTTTTCCTCTTTGGCCTCCTTGGCACTGTTTGACAGACAGACTAAATGCATAGAAAGGAGAGAGCCTCTGTAGCGGATGGGCTCGCGTGTACCACAATGCTTCCCGGCTCTGTCATCCCCTGTGTCGTCCCCACCCTCCTCTTCACACATTCATCCTGTACTCTCACTGCCTTGCTGTGGGAAAGAAAGCCAGGTGCTCTCCCAAGTCCATGTCCACTGTCACAAGTGGTCACTGCCTAGCTTTCTCCTGCTGGAACTGACACAGACAAAACACACACACAGGGAAGAAAGGAGTTCTGTGATTTCATATTTTATCCCCAGGAATTGGCGTGGCGTTTTGGCCGGCCACGCGGCATTTTCTGCAGCCTCTCTCATTGCAGCAGGAGTAAAGCAGCAGCACAGCCAGCAGGGAAGCCAAGAGCTTGGACTGAAATCACACAGGCGTCAACTAGAATCTCGACCCTACGGCTTAGCTTCCTTGAGACCTTGAACAAGTTTTCATTTCTAAGCCTCTTAGGCCCCTTGTATAAACCAAAGCAAACAGCAATGTTGTCCCCTTGAATTGCTGTAAGAATTCGGTGAGAAAGTTCTTGTGGCACACGGAGCTCCTAACCTAACAGAAAATGCTCACATCCCATCCATCATACTGCAGGCCGTCCTCCCCTCATCCCTCTCCGCAACGTGCCAGTTTCTAGTTGTTGGCAGACACAGTGTCTCACACCACGTGCTTACGTAAACCATCCAGGGCTGTCAGCAGCCAGCCAGTGAGGACTTAGTCAGGACTTCCGAGTGCCCATGATGTGGCTGCACACAGGACACTGTGGAAGGAATATAAAGTGTGGCCCCTCCCCCCCCAGGGCATTGCGAGTAACTTCCAGATGAGTAGAATTTGACTTAGATCCAGCACCACAATTTTGATGTCCCCTCAACCTCTATAAATAACATTTTGCTTCGATCTTCTTTCCCAGTAGCATCCCATATATAGAAGGACAGAATTGAAAACACGACTGATTTTCAGAATGGAGGAGTCCCAAAATACTTGGCTATGCCCCAGAAGAAATATATCATCCATAGCAGGCCCAGCATGCAGCCCCGCCCTCCCTCCCAGGCCCCTTTCCTTAGGGTCTGCTTAGGGAGACCTGCACCCAAGTGTCCTACAAAGGAACTGTAGGGGCCCGGTGTTACACAGCAAGTGAAGTCACCGCTTAGGATCGCCTGATTCTAATCCTGGTTAATCCATGCTTCTGATCCAACTGTGCTAATTCACCTGGGAGGCGGTGGACTGACGACTCAAATCCTTGGGTTCCTGCCACCCACTGAAAGGAGTTCCTGGTCCTGGCCCTACCCTGACCCCACCCTGGCCTCACCTGGTTGGGAGCATGTGGGTGGAGAGTCTGTCCCACCTTCTCTCTGTCACTCTGCCTTTCAGATAAAGAAATCCTTCAAAAAGTGAAAGCTGAAATGCAAGAGCTTGCATTTACAGGGAAACTAGTTCATGATGCCAAAGGTTATACATTAGGATTCTTGAATTATTCGATGAATTGGTGTATTTATAGATTGTGAGCCTTTCTTGCAGACTAAGGATTTTATTAATAAAACATTAATTTTCCTATTTCTGTTGCTTTAAGAAGAAAAGCTGAAGTTTGTTGCCTAAGAGTGTATCCTTCCTCTGGGCCAGTGCTTGCTTTTGGGGTCTCCCTGAGTACTGAGGGATGAGGAGAGGACTTGCACGGCTAAGTCAGGATTGTTGTCCAGCTCTGCTGTTGCCTCATTGTGCGCTTGGGCACGGTACAACTTACCTCTCCAAACCTTGATGTTCCTGATCTGTAAAACAGTGATGAGAGTAGACTCTAAGCAAGTTCATGTTACATAGAGCACCTGGACGACGCCTGTGGCGAATCATTCACTCAGCAGCATCTGTGCAGATGGAACCTAACGTGAGGGGCAAGGGCAAACTTCTCCAGGGAGACCCTACAGACCCGGGGAACAGTGACGCTGTGGGCCGTGGGCGAAAAGCTTCTACCAAGAATTGGAAAATTCACGCTGCCCATTGAGGACAGCAGAGAGCAAGATGGGTGCTCCCCAGGAAGTAGTGAAATAGACCTTGTAAGATACAGAACCAGGAACCAGGGTGACCATTCCATGCCATTTTGGCAGCTGGTGTAGAAACCTCGGAGGAAACCTACCTCCCGGGACGAAGGTGGGGGGGTGTCACCCAAGGGCTGCACCATCCCTGCCCTGGGAGCCGACTGGTCATGGCAGCTGGCGTGCACTGACTGCTGCCTGTGCTGTTTTTGTTTTGTTTTTTTCCTTCTGTCTCTTCGTTGCATGGATGTCCCTGGTGGAACCAGACATAGAAGACCCTTATGACTGCAAGAAATGCAGGATGAGTTTCCCCACTCTGCAGGATCACCGGAAGCACATCCACGAGGTGCACTCCAAGGAGTACCACCCCTGCCCCACGTGCGGGAAGATCTTCAGCGCGCCCTCCATGCTGGAGCGCCATATGGTGACCCACGTCGGCGGGAAACCCTTCAGCTGTGGGATCTGCAACAAGGCCTACCAGGTGACCTCAGGGCCCCCTCCCCAGCCTGCTGTGCCTGGCTGATTCAGGAGCTGCAGGGGTGGGGGCTGCTGAGGGAGCACAGCACTGCACAGGTCTTGGCCTCCATTTCAGGCTTGTCATCCACCAAGGAGCGTTTCTGCCCTCGGATGCTCACCTCTGACAGATGTGCTGGCCCCGTGTCACAGCACAGGAAGAGTGGTACCCGGAATTGCCTTGTGTTTAGTAACACCATTGTTGTTTGCTTATTTCCTTAAACTCCTGAGAAGGGCTGTACATTTTTTTTACCTTAGAATTTGATATGTAGGGCCCAGCGTGATAGCATAGTGGTTAAAGTCCTCACCTCGAGTGCGCCAGGATCCCATATGGGCACTGGTTCTAATTCCAGCAGCCCCGCTTCCCATCCAGCTCCCCACTTGTGGCCTGGGGAAGCAGTCAAGGCCAGCCCAAAGCCATGGGACCCTGCACCCACATGGGAGACCTGGAAGAAGCTCCTGGTTCCTGGCTTTGGATTGGCTCAGCCCCAGCCCTTGCGGCCACTTGGAGAGTGAACCATCTTTCTCTGTCTCTTCCTCTCTGTCTCTCCTCTTCTCTGTATATCCACCTTTCCAATAAAAATAAATAAAATATTTTCTTAAAAAAAGAATTTGATATATAATTAATTTAATATGTAAGGGTATTTCATAAAATGAAAATAAATGGCAAGTTTATTTTGCTGCAGGGAAAATTTTAAATCCATGCATGGATTTTTCTTTTATTTGGAAGGCAGTGACAGCTCTTCCATCTGCTGGTTCACTCCTCAAATGGTCACAACAACCAGGGTTGGGCCAGGCTGAAGCCAGGAGCCTGGAATGCCTTCCAGGTCTCCCACATGGGTGCAGGGGGCCCAGCACTGGGGCCATCCTGGCTGCTTTCCCAGGTGCATTAGCAGTGAGCTGGATCAGAAGCTGAGCAGCTGATACTTGAACTAGAGTACAATACAGGATGCCAGAATCTCAGCCTGCCACTTAACCCGCTGCACCCCAACATCAGCCCCCTCAGTTTGTTGGTGCCAGTTTCTTGAAGTATTCCCAAAGAGCTAAAAAGCAAGCACAACTCAAAAACACTTCCCAGAGGAAAGGGCAGTTTCTGCTGGCCCCTATAAGCAGGGGAAGACACGCCCTTCAGCTCCTTTCCACCCGTGCTGGGGCAGGCCATGTTCTGGTGTTCAGCGCAGGGTCACACCTGGGCCGATGCCTCAGTGCCACCCTCATGGCACAGGGACAGCATGTGCTGCTCGTCCAGCAGGTTGCTCTGCCACACGTCTGGGAAGCCAGGCAAGGCTCAAGAGTGAGGGACGCTGATGATCCCTCGGAAAAGCAAGGGTATAATACTGGAGGAGCTCGTCCCTAACTGTGTGTCCTCGGGAAGTCGTTTCCTCAGCCAGCGCCCAGCTTCCAGCTCCGCAGCAGGGCCCTAACACTTCCTTTCTGGGCTCGCTGTAAGGTGAGGATTTATGAAGGACCAGGCCCTGGTCTAGAACAGCCTCAGTGACTTAGGTGTTTTGCTCCCACAATGTGGGTGCACGAGCTTACTTCACAACCTTTTTCTGTCTCAAGGAGCATGTGAGCTCTCCAGACTGCTGGAACTTTCTAAGACTTAATATTTGCCCAATTTTTTGCAGCAATTGTCCGGTCTGTGGTACCACAATCGGACCCATCACCCAGACGTGTTTGCTGCTCAGAACCATCGGTCTTCCAAGTTCTCATCCCTGCAATGCAGCTCGTGTGACAAAGCCTTTCCCAACAGCATCGAACACAAGAAGCACATCAAAGCAGAGCACGCAGGTGAGGTGTGGGTGCCCCCGACAGAGTGCATGGGGCTGGATGTCCTAGCACCCTGGCTTCTCTGTGGAAGTTCTCGCGTGCAGTGGCATGGTGGACTGAGCTGGTGCCATGCCTCTGTCCTGCTTTGCTCACCTAAGGATGCAGAGTATATGAATGGCAGGGGTTCTCGAACCCAGGATGCCAGTAGGTGGCAGCTGCTGTCAGCCCCCAGAGCAGGAAGGGGGTCAGCTAGACCCTTTTCTGAATCTGGTTACCTCCCTTCAGAATTAGTTATTGATACCTACCTAACAAGAAAACTGAAGGATAGTCACATCCGCTCTCAGAGAACGTGTCCAACAAGCCAGGCATTGGCTGAACATTCCTTCCCTGTGTCTTTTCTCACTTAATCCTCTTTGCATCCAGCAGTCTGTGCCAGACCCGATGCTGTCCACCCTTGGCCTGTCTGCATCGGTCTCTGCTGGGGATACAGCTCAGCCCTTGGTAGATGTCCTGTTACCCTCCCGCCTCAGGGAGATATCCTCTGTTCTTTGCCATCACTTCTTCCGTTTGACACTTTCCAGATATGAAGTTCCACGAATGTGACCAGTGTAAGGAGCTCTTCCCCACACCAGCCTTGCTGCAGGTTCACATCAAGTGCCAGCATTCAGGTCAGTATCCCCTTATGTCCCCCTGAACTAGACTGCTTGTCGGGGAATCTGATCACCACCACCACTCACAGCTGTGCAGCCCAGGCGAAGGCACTCCACTGACTGGTGCGCCTCAACTTAGCTTACCTAGAAAATGGGAACGATTGCAGTACCCACCTCAGAGAGCAACTGAAAAACCCGAGGGATATAAATACCGCCTAAGCACAGGCTGTGCTCGTCGTTGTCAGTGCTTTATTTCAGCAGTTCTGGAGGGCCAGGTGCATCACTTTTAATGAGCCCTTAAGACAGCACTACTGCTACCAATTAAACAATGCTTTCTTATCACTTAGCACATACAAGTTACTCTAAATGTTTTTTGGACCTTAATTTGGTAGATTTTTATCCTGTCACCTAACCTGTGTACAAACATAAAGAGTAAAACATAAAAAAATAAATTAAGGGACCCAACACAATGGCTCTGAGGTCTAATCCTTTCCCTTGAAGCACTGGAATCCCATATGGGCACTGGTTCATGTCCCAGCTGCTCCGTTTCCCATCCAGCTCCCTGCTTGTGGCCTCAGAAAGCAGCAGAAGATGACCCAAAGCCTTGGGACCCTGCACCCACCTAGGAGACCCTGAAGAAGCTCTTGGCTCATGTCTTTGGATTGGCTAAAATTGGCTCAGCTCTGGCCGTTGCAGCCACTTGCAGAGTGAACCAACAGATGGAAGATCTTAATGTAGATCTTCCTTTCCAATTAAAAATTAACTAATTAGTTAATTAAGGGAAGAAGCTAGCTTCTCAAGTGGTTTTCAGGTCTGACTTTTGGTAGGTGTGTGTTCCCTGCTATTGAGAGCACTGATAAAAATGGTGCATGGCTGTCAGGTTCTGATAGAGAACTGAACACTGCTCTGCTCTCTCAAATGAGCCCAGCTTGATTCCTGCTTTGGCAGTGAACTAAGCCCCATCGCTTACCTCCTCCCTCTGAAGCCGTTTTGTTCCCATGAGTTACAATTATGCACCAGTCCAGCCATAGGGATTTTCTTCCAAGCCGTGGACACTCGTTCTGCAAATCTTGATGCTGCCACTTTGGATGGTCATGTAAACAGTCATTGACAGCTGCACCTAACTGCTAGCTCACCCAGAGCTGTCGCAAGGCGCCATTGATCCTATTGCAGAGATGCTAAAATGTGAGTGTTCAGATTGATGAGCCAGACAGTCGCTGACATCATTATCTGCAGTGGAGTTCCTGACGGGCTTCACAGAGACAGCAGCAGCCTGACGGGTGCTGGTGAAGTGTGCTCTCAGAGCCCCTCGCTTGCCTCGACCCTCCCAAGGTCCCAGGGATCTGAAACGGGCCGCAAACAGAGATTTGATGGCTAGCTTCAGTCTCGCTGTTCCTTCCTTTCACCTCTCCCTATCCTTGTTGCTCCAGGCATTCCGTTCATGGCCTGTCTCTGTCTCCCCCTCCCCCAGGGGCCCAGCCCTTCAGGTGCTTGTACTGTGCAGCTACGTTCCGCTTCCCCGGGGCCCTGCAGCACCATGTCACCACCGAGCACTTCAAGCAGTCGGAGAGCACCTTCCCCTGCGAGCTCTGCGGGGAGCTCTTCACCTCCCAGGCTCAGCTCGAGGGTCACTTGGAATCTGAGCACCCCAAGGTGATGGGTGCTGAGACCCAGGCAGCTGCCTCGCAGGTAGTGCAGGTGAGTGTGGGGCTGTCAGGTCACAGGAGGCTGGCCTGGGATTCCTCAGGCTCCTCCAGGGGTAGCTGTGCCACAACACCCAGACTGACTGCGAGTTCTTAAAGGGCCCTGGAGGCATCTCACTACCAGGGGGAGCTGGCATAGGGTTTCTGCTTGCAGTTCAGTGCTTTCCCACGTCCTCAGGAACACCATAGGAGGTAGGGAGGGTTTCAGGAAGCATGGAAAATGGCTGCTGAGCCTGTGTGGGGTATGAACCACCCAAGTTGAGACCCTTAGATATGCCTCTGGGCTGGACACAGCACATATATCTGGGGGGGAAAAAAAAAAACACCTCTTAATGTTTCACAGCCAAGTTCAATCCAGCCTCGCTTTCCCTGGTCCTCTTTTCTTTCCTCCCAACTCCAGAGACAGTGGGAAGAAAGAAAAAGCAGCTTAGTTCTGTGGATTGTCAGTGGGTTGCAGAGGAGCTGAGGGAGGTTGGAGTGCTGACTGTCCCACTGTCCAGTTCCCTGGGTCAGTCACCTACCAGTCCTGTTCTAGAGAGCCTTGGAAGGGCCGAGAGGGGCCAGCTGGGCAGGGCTGCAGGCTCCCTTTCAGCCAACATGATTCTGTTTTCACTTTTTTGTGGACTAGGGGTCTTGGTAAGATGTCTTCTGGGAAAGAGGAAGGGGACGTGGGAGGGATGTGTGTCATTCTTTAAAGAGGAAAGAACAGTTTACAAGCTACTTTTCAAGCTGTTAGTTGAACTTCAGTTTATCCCTTCACTCCATCACACAGAGAAGCAGCTGAACTGGTCCTCACTGGGCCCACAGCCTTTGGCTGAGGCTCAACAGCCAGGTAGCTGTGCCTTTGAGTATTATGGCGACTGGTGACTCTGAGGTGTACAGGTCAGAATGTCAGCATGGAGGAAGCCACCGTTTATCCATATCCCTGACCTCCTCAGCCTCTTAGCTGGCAGGCCCCAGTCCAGCTGAGGTCCAGAGGCGTCACCCTTGGCAAGCCTGGGCTTCTGGTAACCACTCCCCTGCCCATGCTTCGAGCATGAGATCAGCCACCTTCAGTAGCATTCCTCTCACACAATACTGGCTTCTGCAGTGCCATCCTCAAGACAGGGAAATCCAGGATGAGAAATGGAGCCTGTGTTCACTGGCGTGTAATCATAGAGTCCTGGCACCCTGAGATGGTGTACTGAGCAAAATTACAGCAATTTCCTGCCCAGAGTTATTTAAATGGTCTGCCTGCCTTCTCTTTTGCATCATTGGTGTTGTTGGGCTTGCCTCCTCCCATTAGGTACGTGTAATTGCTCTCCTCGGGTGCAAACATAAATATCATCATTACAGCATGAGATGGAAGCCGTGTGAGTTCTGGGGCACTATTCAGGGACTGTGCCCAGAGCAACCTCCTGTTCTTTCCCTTTCAGGTGATCCAAACCCCAGAGCCAGTGGCTCCAGCAGAACAGGTGATCACTTTGGAGGAGACCCAGCTTGCCGGATCCCAGGTGTTTGTGACATTGCCAGATTCCCAGGCATCTTCGACCGGCTCTGAGCTCGTGGCCGTGACCGTGGAGGACTTGCTCGATGGCACCGTGACCTTAATCTGTGGAGAAGCCAAGTGATGGGCCAGGCTCCCACACCTGCCCAGAGAAGGCAGCACAGCTAGCATATGCCTGCGCTCTCTGGCCATCCTGAGTGGGAGCCTCTTAGCCTAGCACCGACCGGAATGGCTTCACTTGGAAAGCAGACAGAGCATCCTTGTTCTCATGGAACCCATTATGTCTGAGTCATCGCTGCTGACTCCACCATCCTCACTAGCAGACAGGCCTGTGGCCTCAGCATTTGTCACAGCACTATCCCCAGCCCCTGCCAAGGAAAGCTTCCAAAATAGAGTGAATGAGCAGTGTAATGGGAGCTGGTGACAGAGCAGTCAGGGAGGTGCCGTGTGCCGGCAACCCTTGGTGGCAGAATGGCATTTAGAAGTACTGCCAGTGTCTCTGGCCATTGAGCAGTGAGAGAAACCCAGCCAAGCCGTCCAGAGACCTCGCTCTGAGCTCATGGCTCCTCCTCACTTAGGCTCCCCATTGTGCCCGGTGACCATGCCCAAATGTTGATGCGGGAAGGGTCAGTCCTTCCTCAGCCAAAGCCTTTGGGGCGTTTCTGCCGCCAGGGTTTAATGTGAGACCATCTGGCAATGAAGATGGTCTCTGCATCTCCAGCAATTCCATCCTGGTGTTCCTTCCTGAGGGCTGGTTCCCACAGCTCTCCCCTGCATGTGTTCCTCATCTCCTTCCTGGAACCTAAGGCTTAATCTTACGCCTAACCTGGAGGCCTTGCTCCCTCGCAGCTGTGACCTGCACCTGCCAGGCCATCTGGTGTCACAGGAGAAGCAGTTACTGCTGGCCGAGCACTCCCAGGCTCCCACTGCTGCAAGTCATTGAGCCTTTTGAATCTGAATTTCATAATGCTTTTTTATCTTTAGTTCCTGTGATATAATCTGATAATTAATGGTTTGTGGAATCCATTACGAAGTGCAATTAGATGGATGGTCCCTGCCGTTGAGGGAGAATGACTAGCGTTTATCTTCTTTTCCTTTGAGCCAAAGGTTGCAGTCTCTAGTGGATGTTTACACACCAGGCAGGCCTTCCTGCCACACTGTGGCTTGAGCCCTGGGGAGGAGCATGTCCTGAACTCGTCATTGGCCTTAGAACGACAGGCTGGCAAGGTCAGGGCTGCACTACACAGGGACCTTCCCACTGGCCACTGTGTGCAGCAGCAGCTCCGGCCAGCTCTCCCCAGCCAGCCAGTTGCCTCCTGGCCTTCTCCCATTTTCATGGGCAAACTGCCTGGGATTGCCAGTTCAGCATCTCCCCATGCTGAAGTAAATGGAGTGTTTGAAAGACAGTTGGCCTCAGAAGCCAAGAACTGACCAGAAGATGGTGCTCAAACCTTTAAGACTTGGGCTCCCTATGACTCTGAAGGCCTCGCTTGCTGCTACCAAGACTGCCCCTGACTCGGGGTTTAGTCCCGGGAGCTGCCAGTAGGCTCTTACACTGCAAGTGGCACCGAATAAAACCCGGTGACACACTGGAGGAGCACGTGCTTCCAGCCTTGGTACTAAACCCGAGGACAAGAATGTAACAGCTTAGAAGCCATGGTGCCAATGTCACCAAGACAACAAGCCAAAAAAAAAAAATTAGTGGCTGAAGACCTAGAGATGAGAGTGATCTTAAAAATCTGAATACAGAGCTAAGAGTTCCAGTATCAGATGCTTTCCTGCACTAAGAATCCCTTTCTTGGGTTTCAGCGGCGATCACAGTGTGGCAGAACCCCCAAACAGCCGGCCTGGCAGTTGGCTCAGCCGAGGTCCAGCAGAGGCAGGGTGTGCTGGGGACATCGGGGGCTCGCAGTGGGAGGCGGGGCCCTGCCTGGAGCTGCTTGCTCGCTCAGCTGGGCCTCTGCCTGGGCGGCTGACAGTACCCCAGAGAAGCCTGAGCGTGGGTGGCACTGCACTCCTTGCATGGCCAGAGTGTTCATATCTCACACTCTTGCCCCAAAAAACCCTTGGAATTGCCACCACAGAGGCTGCTGTCCTGACCACCTTGTACCTGGAGGTGCTGCTGGGCTGTGGAGAAGTGCTCGTCTCAGGACTTGTGGATTAATCACATGAGACCCCAACCTTCTCAACTCCCAGAGCCCGTGAGCCAGCCAGTGAGGAAGCCACAGAGCCCAGCGTCCAAGCTGGAAACTTCGTCCTGTAGAAGAAGTGGCATCAGTGGCAGGACAGTGGCCCTCAACAGGGGAAACACAAAAATTGAGAGCAAGGGCCACCACAGGAGGATGACGTTGGCCCTTCGTGTCCCAGACTCTGAGTCAAACTGGGCACCAAAGGAACAGCAGCGGGCAGGGACAGAGATCATTAGGCATTTTGGTTTTTGGCTTGCGTTTCCTGACTCAAGCTCTGTGGTTGGAAGATCAGCCCAGTGAGTGGCGGTGCCTCACCAAGGGAACATTGTCATTTACAGCGCCCCCTGGAGGAACCTCAGGCCAGAGCGCCTGATGGTCAGGGGCGGCGAGAGAAAATAAGGTCCAGACAGCGGGTGAATGGGAAAATGAAGGCTCAGTTTTCTGCCTGCAGGCTCAGTCAGGGAAGGATGAGACCCTGAGAGGTCTTTCCCATCCCTGGGGTCGTGGCCCTTGCGATGCCAAGACAGACAACATCCTAATAGGTTGGGAGGCTGAACCTTTTGAGTCTCGTGCCTGAGAACCAGGGCACCAAGTGCTAGGGGAAGCTGAGCAGGCAGCTCCGGGATGAGTGGTATTTCTGTGGGGAGACGGGAGGAGGGGGTTGTCAGCATCTCCAGGAAGAGCTGAGCAGCCCCAGGCCCAGCCCTGGCCTGCTTAGCCTGTGGATCCCAGAGATACTTGGAAAGTAGGAAGACAATGGAACTAAAAGAAAGATTTAGGGCTGGAGGGGTGTTGGAGACAGGTTGATAATTGTTTCTGTTGCCATGGAAGCACTGGGGCTGGTAGGACTTGGACTGGAGCAGAAACTCCAAAATTCACAGCAGCTGCAGCTGAGCGTGTATGGGAGCCAGAGGCTGGCTGCACCCTGGGACCACCTGACCGGGACAGCCCCTTCCCTAGCTGCTGAGACTGCGCCCTCTGCTAGGCCAAGGCCAGTCACGCCTGCAGCCACGCGATGCTGTACACACTGGGCTGCAAGCCATGACTGATGTTCAACGTGTACTCTATCAATAAAATGTGTACTTTGAAGAAAATCGTGCTCTGTGAGTTCCTCGGGCGTTGTGGCGTCACCAGTCCATTTTGTCTTTGGTTCAGGGCAGTGTCAGATGGGCACAGCTTCACAGGCCTGGTGGCCTGGAGAATAAAACACACCCCTGTCCCATGGGGTGTCATTTCCTGAGCCTCCTTCCCAGGGACCATGTGCAGGCAGTGTGCCAGCACCCAGGCTGTGCCACTGAGTGACTGCGTGGCCTTGGACAAGGTGAGCACTCCTAAGCTTCCGGCTTATAAAGTCGGGGAAATCATCGTGCTTACACAAAAACTGCAAATTAAAAGCCTGGATTTGATGAGTCTATAGTGGAGAATGTTAGCTTGATATTAATATCCTCTGCAGTTCTGCACATGAGCCAGTCATTTCAGGTACCAAAAGAGCGTATGTGCTGTGCCTCGGCATGGACACGCAGTGAACGTGGCCTGCTGCGACACACAGAGGATGACCCAGATCTGGGACTCGCTGGTAGGGAACCTGGGTGATAGTGTCCCACCGTGGCCTGCTCCGTAGGGCAGAACGTAGGCAGCAGCCCAGTTACTTGAGTTGTGCACTGGAGGGAGGACTTGCCCAGCTTTCTGTGTTTATAAATCTGCATTCTGAGATTGCCCATGCACATCTCCTGCACTTGACAACCTGGACATGCGGTCGCCCATGTTGCACCTTGAATCTTTGCTTTCTCTCCTGTTGCATTCTAAACAGCTCAAGGACAGGGACCACCCTCACCGTCTTGGTCTCCAAGTAGGGCATGCTGTGTTGGGCACGTGGAGGTGGAGTCAGGACCGTGTGCTCTGCACTCCTGTTTGCCCCCACCTCTAGCAGCAAGGTTGTTCCCCGAGTTACCTGTGGGCTCCTCCAGCAGAGCCTCCTCCTTTCTTTGTCCTCTGAGAAGAGATTAGCGGAAGGCTAAGAGCAGCTGGCGGCCCCTGAGCTCCCAGCTTCTCTGATCAAACACCGTTCCTGCCGGCTCTTCTTGCCCTGGTCCCCCAGCGCAGGCCAGAAGCAGCTGATCAAACACATCAGGACAAGGTCAGTCCAGGGACCCACCGTCCCCTCCAGGGGAGATTTCACAGCCCTGCCATCAGCAGGGTCTGATAAAAATGGGTTGGGGTGGGGAAGAGGGCCGAGGGCTGGCACAGGGCTGAATGCCTTTCGCTCTGTTTCAGGGTAAAGCGTCTGTGCTCTGCATGGGGCCAGCGCCAGGGCAGCTGCTTGTGAACATGCACGGATGGGAGATGTCGGAGAAGAGTGTGTGTGGACTTGGAAGCACAGATTGGTCGATTGTCAAAGGATGATATAGATTCTCACTATACTGCGACCCCTTCAAGGGGAAGGCCTGTGTGACACCCTTCTAGCTCACAGTTGTTGGCTTGGCACCTCAGGTGTCTGCTTGCTCTGAGCTGGGAGTCTGTAAGCTCCTGCTGTTTACTTGGGCCCGTGCAGGATATAGTAGGATGGGGCAGATCTGGCTGAAATGGCACTATGGTTGTAGTAGGTTGGTTGTATATGAGGATCAAATGCCCAAAACACCTGTGCCAGCTGGACAGCAGGCCCACAGCTCCTGGGACCTGCTGTGTTACTTTCCTTTCTTTGTGTGAGGAGTGAGTGGATTAATAAATGTTAGAAATAATTTCCTAAGAGCCAGCATTGTGGTACAGCACGTTAGGCCCCCACCTGCAGTGCTGGGATCCTGAGTACTGGTTCAAGCTATTCCACTTCCCAGATGGCTGAAGTATCAGGGCTCCTGTACCCATAGCAGAGACCCAGAAGGATTTCCAGGCTCCTGGCTCTGGCCTGCCTAAGACCCAGCCATTGAGACCTTTTCAGAAGTGATCTAGCGCCTGGGAGATGTATGTGTATAACTCTGCCTTTCAAACTGGTAAACCTTTTAAAAATAATAACCTCATAGTGACTGCTGTTGGTTGGACACTGGGCTGAGACCAGCTCTGTGATGTTGGGCTCTGCTGTCCAAGGGGTGAGAACAGACACCAGAGTCATGCCAAGCCACTGAGCAGCACAGCTGGGATGTGAACCCAAAACTGTCCCAAATGAGCATTGCTCATTGGCCCCCTTCTTCCCATTCCTCACGCAGTCTTGTCTGCCGCACCTGGGCTGCAGTCACGGCTCCCAGGAGGTTCTCTTCTTCTTGGCTCTCCCGTGCCCTCCTCACCATCCTGCATGAGACAACCACCCAGGCCTAAAACTGAGCCACTGCTGGAAGCATCTCCAGGAGCAAGTCACGGCCTCTGCCCTCCACCTGCCTGGGGCCCGTCGCTATGTCAGACCCCGGACCTTGAGCTTCACCAATCCTCGGAGGACACTGGAAGCGCAGGTCAGGCCTGTCCTCAGAATGCAAGGCAGCCACAGGGGCCACCAGAGCTCCTCCCCCGACTGAGGCATGCGAGGGCAGGCCCCTAGCAGCTCCAGGCAGCATCTCAGCCTCCGCCTAACCTTTCTCCTCCTTGATCCTAGGCTCCGAAAGGAAGACTGTTTCCCTCAACCACAGCGTCTGATCTTAAAGGGGCAGACCACAAGGCATAGTGCAGAACCAGCCTCAGAATTGTTCAGCTTTGGGTTCAGCTAGCTGGCCTGTGCCTTCTCGCCTGTCACTTCAGGTATGTCAGCTTTACTTTATCATGATTCCCTTGTCTCTGGAACGGAGGCAATAAAAAGTTAGGTTCGGGCCCGGCGGCGTGGCCTAGCGGCTAAAGTCCTCACCTTGAACGTGCCAGGATCCCATATGGGCGCCGGTTCTAATCCCGGCAGCCCCACTTCCCATCCAGCTCCCTGCTTGTGGCCTGGGAAAGCAGTCGAGGACGGCCCAAATTCTTGGGACCCTGCACCTGCATGGGGGACCCAGAAAGAAGTTCCTGACTCCTGGTTCCGGATCGGCATAGCACCGGCCATTGTGCTCACTTGGGGAGTGAATCATTGGAGGGAAGATCTTCCTCTCTGTCTCTCCTCCCCTCTGTATATCTGACTTTGTAATAAAATAAATAAATCTTTAAAAAAAAAAAGTTAGGTTCGCGGCAAAGATGAAAATAACACATGAAAGGTTCTCACCTAGCTCCTGGCACATCGCAAATGCTCTGTAAAAGTTATACCAGTTGTGTTAGAGGGCGATCTCCAGGTGGCCCCTGCCTGATGCAGAAAGCCGCTGTGTGCCTCTGCTTCGCAGGCGGGTGGCCTGCTGGGGGGACAGGATGGAAGAGCACATTGGACGGTGAGTCTCCAGAGGGCAGGGACTGGTGCTAACTGCAATCCAGTCCATTTCACTGGCATCACCCAAAGGCTGTGGAGCCAGCTCTGCAGATCCCACATCAGAAAGCAGGATTTTGGGGACCAGCCTGATGCCGCCCAGGATCCTGGACCAAGGGGCCTCAGCTGAACACAGTGCGTTACCCACACAGTAGCCCCATTTCTGTGCCAAACAGTGGAGGAGAGAGGGCTTGCCTGGTAGAAGGCTGCTAGAGACAGCGGTTAAATGCTTGTCCTGGGTGAGTAACTGTGGTCCTGTAATGTCTGCTGCAGGGGCAGCTCCCCCTTAGTCCTCAGGTGCTATGGATACATGATTTGCTTTGAGACTTCTAGCATCATGAAGCCTACCTTCTGTTCAGAAAGAGAACTCGGACCAAACAAGACCTCAGTCTCACACTGATGGTGCCTCCACTGGTGAGCGGTGGAACTGCAGCCAGCTTCCCTGCCTGGCAGTGCTGTGGTGCCTAGGATGGCCCCTTGCTTGAGAGTGTGCATGGTCACCACCACGCAGATGCTGGCAGCAGCCCTGGATGGTGCAAGGGCCCGGACCGTGTCCAGGGAGCCAGTTGCTTGGCCACTCGGGACAGGTAGGCTGAGGTAGCAGAATACCCACAACAGCTGGACTCAGCGCAATGAGCATTGTGAGGAAAAGCACATCTTAGGCGAGGAGGGGACTGTAGCCCAGACTGTAGCAGTCACAGCTCGAGAACTCCTGGTTGTGAGCTGGGACCACGGTGCCTAAGTCAACCATCCCAACAATGCCTGGTCTCGTGCTGTGCAACAGGTCCTTTGTCATCATGGAAGTATGCTGCCCTGTACGGGCCAGTGTGGAAGCCACTGGTCACACGCAGCCATTGCACATTTGAAATGCCAGCAGTAGCACATCTAGAATGCTGGGGGGTAAAAGTCAGAGCAGGTGAGGCAGGAGGGACATGCTTCAGGCCTCCCTGATTTGACAACTCAAGCAAAGACCCACTGGCTGGAGGGAGTAGCCGTGCAAATGTCCAGAAGAGGACACTGCTGGCCAAGGGGACAGCCAGAGCAAGAGCCCTGAGGAATAGAGCAGCATGGCCTGCTTGAGGACTACTCACACGGTGGGCAAGGGAGAGAAGGGGCAGTGAGGTTCTGGAGTCAGAGGGTTGCATCCCATAGGCCATCCTAGGTTACTTCAGGATGTGGCCAGTAGGGGGGTTGTGGCAAGGTGCTGCAACAAAGAGAAAGGTGGATGCTGGTGGGTTACTCCAAGAACCAGCACTGTCTCATGTCAGCAGAAGTCCAAAGGCTTTTTCATATGAGCCTGCAACCAAAAGCCACCTCCAAGCAGCTCATTTGTTAGCCAAGCAAGGAAAACGGTTGTGGTGGGGAGGGGTGGACCTACTGAGCCAACAGCATTTACTGATGGATTGGACATGGATTTGAGAACAAGGGTTCAGGAAGGCTGCCAAGACTGTGGCTCTGAAGTGGAAGCACTCGGCTACCAGGAGCTGTGATGGGGGGAACATCCAGGAGGGAGGGAGAAGAAAACCCATGGACCACATGAGGTGTGAGACATCCAGAGTCAGGTCGCAGGTGTCAAAGACCACCCTGTGTGATGCCCTGTCTGCCAAACCCTGCTGGCACTGGCATCATGAAGACTCCTCAGGGACCCTGGCTGCAGCTCACACCCAGCCCCTCCTCGGCCTGGGGAAGAGAGCAGTTAGCCCTTGGCCCACTCAGCCTGAGC